GATGTATAGTTGTAGAGAGCATGTTACTAAGGGGATTTCTAAGTCCTCAGCAAATACAAACCCAGCCTACGTTGCCTCTGCAATGCTATTTTCTCAGTTCTGCTGCATGGATGGTCCCTCCCACCGATGTACCCCGTCAGCAGTTTTTTTTTTTTGTTTTTGTTTTTTTTTTGAATTTCTGACCAATGTTTGTTTAAATTTCTTATTTTAGGTTGGGGTTTTTTTTTTGTCGTGTGTTATGCCTGGAATTGTGGGAGGGGTCTTTTGCATATATCTATCCCCCTCCAAGCTTCATCCTGCCATCGGTTTAGAAAGTGTGTGTGTGTATGTATATGTGTGTGTGTGTGTGTGTGTGTGTGTGTGTGTGTGTATATATATATATATATATATCTCACACACTATATGGACAGAAGTATTGGACACATCTCTTAATTATTGAATGCAGGTGTTTAGATCAGACCATTGCCTCGTGTATAAAACAAAGCACCGAGCCATGCAGTCTGCATTTACAAACATTGGTGGAAAACATGGGTCGTTCTGAAGAGCTCAGTGAATTTAACCCCTTAAGGACCAAACTTCTGGAATAAAAGGGAATCATGACATGTCACACATGTCATGTGTCCTTAAGGGGTTAAGTGTGGTACTCTGATAGGATGCCATCCTTTTGAAAAAAGTCAGTTTGTGAAATTTCATCCCTGTTAGATATTCCACGGTGAAGTGGAAGTGTTTAGGAACAGCAGCAACTCAGCCACAAAGCGGAAAAAACCATGTAAAATCACAGAGTGCTGATGTGTATGGTGCATAAAAGTAATCAACGCTCTGAACAGTTCCAAACTTCCACTGGCATTAATAACAAAAACTGTGCTGTGGGAGCATCATGGAATGGGTTTCCATGGCCGAGCAGCTGCATGCAAGCGTCCGATGTGTTCTATGGAGTGACAAATCCCACTTCTGTTTGGGTGAGTCTGGGTTTGGCGAATGCCAGAAGAATGTTACATCGGAGGTGTAATGATATGGGGCTGTTTTTAGGGTTTGTGCCCCTTACTTCCAGTGAAGGGAAATCTTAATGTTCAGCATGTGGGGATATTTATGGGATGATAATATTAAACAGTCAAGAATTGCCCACTATTTCAATTCTCCTAGATCTTAGAGATCGTTATCATGTAAGTGAAATGTATTCCATACAAATAAAATCACAATTTGTTATAAAAATAGATATAATTTTTTGTGACAAATAAAATATTAGGCAACATGCATGATAATAATCAGTGAATATTTAGTATAACATTATGTAATACAATGGAATGGCTATACACGGTCCAATGGATAACAGCATCACCTGTCACTTAATAAGATTTATGAGGGTACTTCACAGACAGAAAGTAAAACTTCACACAGCGAAAAGCCATAAAACCTTGGCTAACAGTTAAATCAACTGAGTAACCCTTTCAATGCTGGCTAGATCCTCCTAGGCATATAATATCCTATTCTCCTGTAATTTTCAATTAAAATAACATTCAAACCAGCTCATTAATCATTTCCTGGAACCATCCAATAAGAATAATCTACCAGATTTTTACAAAAGCTGAATTTTAATTTGCCTAAAAAGATATCTTATCTTATTTAGAGCAAATCAATACACCTGGATAAAAACAGCGGTAATATATAATTATTCTTAATTCCACCTGCAGAATGGAATGTTTATAACTATATATTCTTTAGTTAACTAAGATTTCTAAATATTGAAATCTGACCGTGATTTATCCAGTCATATATCATGCTATTAGTAAATTTTAATTAATTTAAATTAATTAAATAAAACCAGGATAATTACCAGTTATGTAGGTATTCTCATCAGATGAGTAGGAAGTCCCAGGAACATGCGCGTATGATTGGTTGTATGGAGGTGCGTGAGTAATAAAGAAAAGTGATGTTGGTTAGAAAGTATCAGTAAAATTCTAAGTGTCAAGGAGTATTTCTTGAGTTGAGTTTGAGAGTTGTGTTAGTCCCAGAGTGTCCTGGATCTCTCTGCATGTCCGAATCTGAATGCCCAAACTCCACCAACTAACTTCTCTCTTCCCTTTGTCCTAACTTTTAAAGGGCCAGACTCTCTGTACGTCATTAGTTGATAAGCCAATAGGAAACTGAAGGTGTGTTCAACCTTCAGATCGCAATTTAGGCATTTGATCCATAGAGGGCAGTCTCGCCTTACTAAACCTTCCTATCCAGGAAATAGTTAACGTTTCCTGATGACGATTTTGACGTCATTTGGCTTATCTAAAATGACTACCATAACTTAGATTTGCTGTCAGTTCAAAGCGTTTGTCTCAGTCTTTGTGGCAACGACTTTGATCGTAATTTCTAAAATTGACAGTTCTAAACTCAATTTCGCCCCTTACTTACTTACAATGGGACCTTGTAAAATTAATTACTTAGTCTTCTCCGTCAGTTTCTGTGTTCAAAATTATTTCTATTCTATTAACATTTAGACAGGGCCTTCTATTCCCCCTGCTTCATTGGTTATCACTTGGCTTGTTTATATAATGCATTCCTTAGCTCAGGCTCAGTGGTTAGTGAAAGCAAGGAAATTATGTGTCTCTGTTATCCTGAAGATAGCAAAATGGAGTCTGCCCTGTCCTGAGTGACTCTGGCAATATACACTTTTAATTTCTATTTTAGCACAAAATGTCTGCCGATATAAATATCCTGACAAGCATACCAAGACATTTTGGACAATGCTACGATTCCAACTTTGTGGGAACCGTTTGGGAAAAGTCACTTTCTATGCCAGCATGACTGTGCTCCAGGTCACAAAGCAAGGTCCATAAAGACATGGTTGGATGAGTTTCGTGTGGAAGAAGTTGGTTGGTTCACACAGAGCTCTGACCTTAACCCCATTAAACACCTGTGGGATGAAATGTAATGGAGTTTGTGAGTCAGGCCTTATTGTCCAACATCACTGCATGAACTTGCAAATGCTCTACTGGGTGAATGGGGAAACACTCCACATTTTTGTAGAAAGACTTCCCAGAAGAATGAAAGCTGTTCTAGCTGCAGAGGGTGCTCAAATATATACTAGTGTCTATGTATTCAGAATACAATGTCATAAAAGTCCCAGTTGGTGTAATGGCCAGGCCCCAAATATGTTTGTCCATATAGTGTGTATATTTATATAAAAAAAAAAATATATATATATAATTTTATTTTTTTTTGTTCTCGCAAAAGTTGTATGTCACATTGTCTGCAGCTTTTGCAAGCCCTCCCCTTCTAAACCCACTCAGACTTTATTTGGCTGTCCAATCATAGACTCCCAATGCAGCTCAATGAGAAGTCTTTGTAAGGCAGCTGCTCTGGGCAATTGCTGCATGTAAAGACTTTTAAACCAGGTAGTAACAGGTGTCTGACACCGAGGGGTTGTGACAAGGTTAATTTATAAAAGTACCAGTTTCTACTGAAATGCTTTAGGTGTTTGAAGTATTCATTTGAAGATACAGTGTATGTTGTCTATTACTGACCATTTTAAATGCTTTTCTATTTCCCTTTTTTTTGGTTTACTATTCTTTATCTATTAGGCTCAATTTGAATAAAAATAGATTTTTAATATACAACAATATTCACCACAGACTCCCTGCCTTTTGTTTTGGGCCATGGACATAATGTGGGTGTTTATTGTTCCCCCTTAGCTGTATTTGACACTGTCCTGTTGTTTCAGGGGAATGAGCACCACGAGATGAGCGTCCGCACTTTCTTCCTGGAGCTTCTTCGTGCCAAGAAGCCATTAATCCTGCACAACGGGCTCATAGACCTGGCCTTCCTTTATCAATGCTTCTATGCTCAGCTCCCCGATAATCTGGGAAACTTTATTGCCGACCTCTCAGAAATGTTCCCAGCGGGGATCTACGATACAAAGTACGCCTCTGAATTTGAGATTCGAATTACAGCATCCTACCTTGAGTATGCTTACAAAAAATGGTGAGTCTGTATTCTCTTCTTAAAGCTAAGGAGCTCTAGCAAATACTTTAAAGGGACACAGCTAGCACCCCAACAACCTTCGCGCTTTAGGCTGGTTCAAGAAAATGCTTTGGCTCAACTAACCTGCACATTTCTTCAGACCTCCTCATGCAGAGGTGTCCCATTTAGAATCTAAACACCAAACAAGATTCCACCGTTTGTAATGGGGTCCTTCGCATATTTAGAAGGAACCAGAGCTGTTGTCATGTCTAATGGCTCTACTTACAAAAGCTGTGGAACTAATATATGGAATTAAGTTAAAAAGCAACTGCATCCATCTGTCCCTCATCCTATGAGACACCAGAACCACTATTCCTTAATGTAGTGGTTCTGGGGCAAGGAGCCTGTCCCTGCAACATCAGTAGTGTAAACGGTGCTGCCTTTTTGGAGGAAAATGTCACATTTAATAGCTGTCACTCTGCATTAACTCATTGCATCTCAGGAGGAGATACTGTGTGGCGATCTGCGCATGCACACCACTTTCCCAATGCTTCCCTTTGGGGAATCATTGTATTGGCTGAGATGATCAGCATGCCAGAGAAGTAAAGGTGAGTTAATGTATGTTATCTTTGCCCTATAATTGTATCTATATCTTCATTCATTGGATTTCTCAGATCATTTAGTTTGTGTTTCCAGTACAGTTTTATTTTAGTATTTAGCTTCAGTGGGTCCAGCAGTTTAATGATGTGGATTGTCCTCTCTTGTCTTGCAGTAAGCGTGAGAATAGACGATTAATGGATTCCAATGGCAAGCACATGGCTATTGAGTTTTGTAACTACCCTTCTTCAATGTCAACTTTTGTGGATTACCGACACTGTTCTCTGCCAGAGCCCAACCAGGCCGACTCTGAGAGCATGCAACATCATGTTTGTGAGCAGTTTTCGGTGAGTCTATCTACATGTTGGTTTGGTGTGACTCTCTTTTTAAAGGATAATTGTGTCGCATGTCTGATAACCAGTTGGTGAATGAGATGTCTCTTGTTTACAGGCTTATGGCTGGTGTCCGAATGGGCTGAAGTGTACACAGTCCCACAACATTGATCTTATTATTGATGAGGATGAAAAATTCAAAGACAACAAAAAGAAGAGAAACAGAAGGAAGAGGAAAAAGAATGTGGAACAGCATCCTGTGGAAGAGACAAAAATAGCAGAGCAAAATCCCTGCATTGTATGTGATGAGGAGCCCCCACTGAAGCAGAGCTGTGCACATCCCGAGAGTTCCCAGACAGCTGCTGAGCAGAAATGCCAAATTGTGGAACAATGTGATCAGCTGCAAACCACAGATAGCAGGATGGAGGAAGATCTTCCACCAGCTGCTAGTCCACAGGAACAAGTGAAGGACCATATGGCCACAGAAAAGAGTCCTATTGCAGTAGAGACTAGCATGGCTCTTGCTGATACTGGTTACAATAAGGCAGTGTTTAATGTTAAAAGCTCTACGCTAGGAAGCCAGGTGAATAACGAGAGTGGCACCCACCGGGCTGGTTTTGATGCCTTTATGACTGGCTATATTATCGGGTATGTCTGGATGCTGAAGAAAGAACCAGGTTCTAATTCCCTGACTTCCTGCTGTCTCCCGGATTGTCACAATAAGGTTTATCTGAGTGGGAAGAATGTGCCCCTTCAGATAGTAAAGAGCATATTTTCTAAGTCTTCCAGAGCCCACATTCAGAAGATGAGACTTGTCTTCTTTAACAGTTCATAACAGGCAATCTTTTCTTTTAAATCAAATCACGGTTGTTTTATTCTATTATAAAGGCAAAAATTCCTAAACATGGGGTTTTCCTTTAGTTAGTTTGAACATGGGTATCCTGTTCTCTAAGCAGTTTATTTGTGCCATTTGGCCTGAGTGAATGGTGGTAACGAGTTACATGTGGCACTTGTTATAATTTCTCTACATTGCACGGTAGTGGGAAGAAAGGGATGTTTACTTTTCACATCAAATCATTTCTGGGTTTTTGTGTGTAATTACAGTGTACATGTCTCTAAATGTGGATTTATTTTAATAATTATGAAAATATGTATCCATGCACCATTCAGCACTGCATCAGCTAAGGAAATGGTTTTATACGCTCACAGGGCTCTTTACTAGAGGGGGAAATCAGTCAGCTATGTTTTCTGTTTTGGCTACTTTGAACATGGATTTGAAATTCACCCCGAATTTTCTTTAGTTTCCTTATGTAGTTGCTAAGTGCTAGAATTGGTTGTTTGTACAGAGATTCCTTTAAGAGTGGCAGTGCTTGTTGAGAAATACTTCCAGAGAACACTGTAGCCTAGCTTGTGCAGATATGAATTCATTGAGATTACATGTTAACTGGCATAGCTACTTGTGGAATTTAATTATCAGTTCTGCTTCGATAAGCTTTCTCCATTCGTCAGGCTGGTAATGTACCTCCCGGTGTTACCCTCTTCCTTCACATTCAGGGTCCTGTGAGTATATTCTGCAGGGGTGCAGTTGTTAACACTGATTGCAGGCATTTTGCTTAGGGTAGAGAATACTCTTTTAATATGTGAATACAGTGCTGCCAGGACTCGCTCCTCTCCATATGCTGTTGCTTCTTAGACGAGGCAGATTCATGCAACATGCAGGTACACAGCTTGAAACCCAGCAAATCAGGTTCTGTTGTCCACTCCCCTCCCCCACCTACCACGGGTGGTTGCTTTTTGCAAAAGATAGATCCAAGATGTTTTAAAACAGATTCTATGATGCTTTGTCATTCTAAAACAGCTGAGGATCTTACCTTTTGGACACCCATGATCTAAGCTGTTGGCTCCTAGCCTTTTTCACAGGGACCAAAAAATAATAAAAAGCCTCCCACCACATTCTTGAGTCACAATACTCTCCATTCCAGATTCTATAAATACTAAAACATTTTGACAAACCACCTCCATCAGATTGGAAAGAAGCGTCACATTAAATATACTGCGGGCTGTTCTCTGCTGCACACAGGGAAATGACAGGTCATTGATGGAGGTTATGCTTTTTAATAGATGTGGAAAGGCACTGACCCTTTGGAGGTTTGGGTTTTTTTTTTTGTCAAAGACGCTAAGGATTTATTTTTATGTAGAACAGGACCTCTGGCAATTCAAAGTAACAATTCACCAGTCAGAATCATGGGTATTCACTAAAGTGTGAAAATTTTATGAGACCAAAATAGTTCAACTAAAACCAGAAGTGATTTGGAAGTAGTTTTTGGGTTGTGAAGTTAAAATACTACCGTTAACAGAACAAAGAAGTGTAGTGAATTGAAAACCAAATTTCAAGACTTAAAAGAACACTATAGCGTTTTAAATACCTTTTTGTATTTCTAAAGCCATAGTACCCCCTTAGCCGTAAACCTATTGTCTAGACCAGTGGTTCCCAATCGAGTCCTCAAGTACCCCCTAACAGACCAGGATTTAGGGATCAGCCAGTTGTGTCTAAGGAGTTTTTAGAACGAAAACAGGGTAATCCCTAAATCCTGGCCTGGTAGGGGGTACTTGAGGAGTGGGTTGGGAACCCCTAGTCTAGACCATCAAGGTGCTGAAAGTGTTAAGTTCCTTTTAAATACTTGCCTCTTTCCCGTGCCAGCACACATTAGGCCTTGCTCACAGGAAAGCAGTGAATCTGCTTTTCTATGGGGATATTGAGGAGTGTGAGAACATTTAAACCTGTAAATTTAGTGGAGGCTTTGAGTGCAGAGAGTGTATGCAGTAATATACCACACTCACAATCTACACTGAATAATGTTCTCATCTAACCCACTAGAACCAACAGCCACTATAACAAGATTAACGTTTGGTAGCAACAATCCCAAATGAGTATCAATTAATAAAACACACACGTATAATTGTAGATCTTTTAATCTGAAAGAATGAAATTACTATACACAAAAAAGTAAAAATGTAAAATATTTAGCCCAAAATCTGTGTATATACGGTTTCTGTGAAGAAACAATTCATTAGCAAGATCAACGCATTGACAGGTACTGATGCAAATATACAAGAAAAAAAGTCAGAGAAAACAAGATTCACTGGCAGTGTTACAAACAGAATCTCTGACTTAATTACATCACAAAGTCCTTGAATTAATTACAGCTCAGTTATTTACAAAAATGGACAGTTTAAGACTTGATAGAACTTCATAAATATGAAAATAGACTTTTTCACTGAAAAGTTGCTTCAGACCAGATCTAACTGCAGAAAAACTATTTTTTGCATAGAAATGTCGTAAGAGCAGAAAAGTAACATTAAGTGCAAATAGGATTTTGTTTTCTTCCAATTATTACTATTTAAAAACAAATGCTGCATGAGATGGCAATGTACTAAGAGGAACCGAACTAGGCCTTGAATTCTTCTTTTATTTAGTAAACAGCTGTGAATATCATAAAAGGCTATTCTTTTTCATGGTTTACAAACAGCCTGCATCTATTGCTATACAGTGTGCTTCAGGGGTGGCAAAGTAGTAAGGCATCATGGGACTACTGTTTATAAAACAGATGGGGGGGGGGGTCCGTGAAATACATTTGCCTGCAGGTCAGAGATTAAAATGAAGATAATGAGTCAAATAACCCACAAAACGGCAGAAGACAAGTCTTCTTATTCTTTATACATCGAATACCCATAGTGTGGGTTACTGGGTCAGGGATAATACTAATTTACACTGAATCAACAAAAATAAAACAAAACACTGAATAATTCAAAGAAAAGGGCATGTTTTTCCAGAACTTGAGTATGCAGGTATAAATCCTTCTCCCTCCAAAAAGAGTCTAGGTAAAGTAGCAATCTCGTTTATACAGGTATCTTAAGTGTGTTGCAAAATCGACACTTTAATTGGCCTGGTAATAAATTAAATGATTTTAAGCAGTTACTGCTCCCCTTTAATGTAATTAATGATGTGGGCATACAGGTAATATATTATAAATGCTTCCAAAGATGCCCACCCCAAACATAGAATCCCAACAAAGATGTGCAATCACACACCACATGCAAAATTAGGGAGCACAGGAATGACAAAAACACATGTAGATTGTATTCTAACCACCACTTCAATAATACTCTGGGTAATAGCATATCAATAAACTGGCCTGCCGCACTGAAAGGAATTTAATATTTTAAACCCATTACATGGTGCTGTGTGCAGCCGCCCTAGCCTGAAATGTATTTTCACAATTTTAACTTAAAATAAGTACACTATAATTGTAAGATTAAACTAAAAATGTCTAACATTTATTGGCTATTATTCTTTAGAAATTCCTGGCACACATCACTCTGATCTTTGCTTGTAAAAACATTCAAAGTCTTTCTCAGCGTTTGGCCGGAAATAGATTTTAAAACATCGCTATTAAGGTGGAAAATCTCCACTACTTTTACCAGCTTGCCATATGCACAAATCATATCTGATATACGACACTGATAGGAAAATAAAGCAATTCAAACTTCCTGTACACACACAATTTTGGGCAGGCAAATCCTGTTCTAGCCTTGTTTATAGTTCATTCATGGCATTCTCTCCCCGGCGTGTTAAGGAGGTTACTGAGGTGGACTACTGCTCCCATCATCCATTAAGAGTGTTGTGGTCACCCTGTCAAACAGTAGAAACAGCAAATCCAGGCACAAATTATCTGAGAGTACTACATTCTCCTAAGGGTAATTTCAGAAAATGTGCTATACGCGATCCCTGCAGAATGAGTCCTTAAAGGGCCAGTATGGGAGCACATTGTATAAAGGGTAGGGGTTTGTCCCAGAGATGCTGCTTTCTGTACAGTGATCACTCTGGACATTGAATTTTGGTTCTTACAGACCAACTGAAGCAGCGTAAACAGAATTATAGGAAATTAGCCCTCTTGAAATGTGTACTTTCAAGTATCGCTGCTAATGCCATAGCCTTTTACATAGCAGTTGCTAAAGATCAAGTCGTCATACTATTACGGCACTATAAAGGTGTGTTTTAATCCTCGTCTGTACTTATCAAGTCAGATCGTGTTATGTAATGTACCGTCACAAGGGGGCAGTGTCATAGGTCTATTGAATTAAGCAAAACTGGCACTCGTAACAGAAGTCCAACAATCTGTAAGTACAATATGGAGAGGACGCAGCACAGGAAGCAGGTAGGGATGGCAGACAAGAGAAACAATTATAAAAAAAAAAAAAAAAACCTACTACAAAACTAGGAAAAAACTATATTTACAGGGCTCTACCTCTTGACAGAACTTAAATTAGGGATTATAGATTTTCCATTTTGCAATCATATTTCCCAGGTTTGTCAGACACTCACTGCAGCAAACCTGCGCAGTCAGATATCAGAAAGGTCGTGATGCAAACTGGAACGAAACTAAAAACAAAGTATTTTAAAATTATATTTTTCACATTAATTTAAAAAAACTCTTTATTAAAAAAATATATATAGAATAAAACAAGGTGAGAAGCCTCAGCTCCTAACCAGATGGGTTGATCAATCTATGCTGTAGCAATGCAGCAGTTAAACTAGCTACAGCTAGACCGTTATGGTCACACGTGTGTTTACACAATCACCTCTGGTTAGGAGGGGCAGCCAGAGTTACCAGACTGGAGCCAAGTGACTTGCAAAACGGTTTAACGAAGGATAAATGCGTTCGAGACCATGAAACAGTTTGTCAGACATAGATATCAGGCTGAATAACCGTATAGTATGCAGCAACATGCACTTTCTGAAATTGGATGAACACTGAAACTGTCAAAGGGACATTCATCACTTGACAATTGAGAATGTGGCTTTTTTCTTAAAAAAAAAAAAAAAGCAGGAAGCAAAGCTTATAAACAAATATACAAACCAAATAAAGTTACAAGTACAAGTTACTATTAATTTGGTCATATTGCATTATTGGGCATGCCTCTCACTTCAGTGAGTCTCTTCATCCTCGCACCCCCCTCAGTTTTACACCAGTCGACTACTAACAGAATCAGGCATCATTGTGCAGCAGCAGCGAGAATCCGATACCAAAGCCTGCTTTGCACGATCATATTAATCAGACTCACTCTCTTCTCCTGTCAGGATTTGCAAGATTAAGAGATCCAACTGCAACTGTGTAAGTCTGTCAGCCAAGCCCAATGAGCTTTTCAGCATTCCTAGGGATAGGATACTGATTGATTAAGATCAGTGCCCCCACTGGAGAGGGTGTGAAAAGCATCCGAAAGAAGCAAGTAACTGTGAAAAACGCACATTACCTGCTTTTTCAGCCTGCAGAGCAAGGTAACTCTTGTTCAGAGCTAGCTTTTGAATGAGACTGCGGTGTCAAAGTGATGCATGTCCCTTCAAGAAAGGAATCTGTACAAATCTGTTCACTCTTCACTTTCCAACGCTTACCATGTTATCTGCTGCGCAGAGTGTGGTTGTTCTAAGAGATCCTTTAGCCATTTCAGCGTTAAATTTCCTACAATAGTTAATGTGAGGGAATACTACTACCATATAGGCTGCATAAAGAGTCAGTAAGGAAGGATGGAGAATACAATCCATAATCATTATTTAAAAAAGGCAAATTGACAGTTACTGCTAACCAAAAACAAAAAAACCCCACCAGAATATTCATTTAAATTTACACTCAAGCGGTCTGAAATTCCCATTCCGTGTGCCATTCTACTCTCACACAAGGAGATAGAAAGAGAAAAATGTTTGTTATGAATAAGAAACATTCCAAGCACTGTAAATACAGCTTGTTGTAGTTATGGTGCTCCGATCCTGTCACAGCAAACTTTCCTTTTAAATACCATTTGTGTGGTCTTTGGCATTAGGTGCCACCTTCCTGGAGCTTCTTAAAGTGAAGTGTGTCTTGCACAGCCTAAGCAGGATGAACATGCTCACACTGTACAAGTAGTTGGAACGGTGAACAGAGAAGTGATACTTCTCTGTATGACATCAGTGGGAAGAGGGGAGGGGCCTGAGAGGCAGAGATAAATATTTGTGATGGAAGGAAAAATACTAAATATCACGATCAGCAAGGATTTAATTCAAGGACAGGTTTGTAGCACTACAAACACTAAAATAAGTAGATGAGATGCAGTGATCGGAAGCCTATTCACAGAGGGATGCTAACACTGTAATAAAGGACATTTCATCAATTAAGAGGACTAAAATTCACCTTAATTTTAAACTGGCTTTTAAAATAAGATATGATTAAGGGTCTTCTTTACCTCTTAGAAAAACGGGCAAGATATCAGTCGGCAATAGTGGGAGTCCCGAGACACGCACACTGCCCACAGAATAACTCTGGGCTGAAATAAGCAAAACATTTATTCTATACATAGGCCAGTTCTGCTAGCACAACATACAGACTAAATGTTAGAGTGTCCGCAAATGACATGTCCATAAATATACCTATCTTCCACACTAGAACAATCTTATAACGTTAGCCTGTGACCTGTGAGGTCTTAGTCCTGTTTATCTGCATATCATAAAGCTCCTAACGAGTGCTTGTATCAAAAATAGAATATATTTCCAAGGTCACATCTCCTGCTCCCACGTAACAAGATTGTAATATTAAATACTAATGTAGAAATATTAGATTTATAGCTCATTTATGATAACAGGGTGTGTCATGCAATCTGGGATACCAGAAGGTTATCCAACAATAGAATATATACCACACGACTCTTCTGAAGATGGGCATTTGGCTGCTGTGATAGTGTGTGTCTCTCATTGCACACTTAAAATAAAATTAAAATCCTATGTTTTACTTATGTTCTGCTTCAATAATTGGTAAACACTTGGATGCAAGCCTGGGAACAAGTCAGTAGCCCACCCAGGCAGCAAGGACCCCCTGAATGTCACATTCTAACGATCCTTTGCAGCTTGTGGCAGGTCGGCACCGAGTTAGAGAGATGATCTCTGCTTTCTGTCTGTTTCCCATCTCCTGCAAGTAATGTGATGCTGCCATGTTTGGGCGTGGGGCTACAGCACAGAGATGACTCAGGCAAGGGAGAGGAAAGGCTCTGGTTCATATTGTCCTCTATTTCCATGTCCTCTGCATTCAATAGCAAGCTCACCAAGTTCTCCTCCACACAACAGTCAGTCGGACTCTGGGGACGCGGAGTAGATCTGTTACGATTGACCAGCAGCTGATTGTGATTACCGTGCTCATGGCTTTCAGTCCTGGGCGAGCAGGCACTGTTCTCTGCCTGGGTGTAATCGGTACAGTCCATGTCCTCGTCATTTGTCAGAACAGGCTCCAGAGCTGGCGATCTCTGTCGAAAAGGGGGGATATCTGGAACACCATATTTAATGCTGCAAAGGAGCTTCTGCCTGACTTCTGCCCCCAGCTGAGCTGGATCACAGTTTCCCACAGTGGAGGACAGGGCACTGGATAAGCTCGAGTCCTTTTTTGGTAGTTCAGGAGAAATCGGCAGTGACCTGCAGCGTCTTCCAGAGTTAAAGGAGCAGTCCACAATGTCTTGGCTCGCCTGCTGCCAATCCTGCCCTGCCAAAAGACTCCCACCAGTTTTAAGGGAATGTAAATCGAAGACATGAGAGATAACGGACTTGCTGGGCATGTCAAAGAACTTGATCTTTCCTCCCCTTAGGTCTTCTCTGGCATTAAAAGGGTTTACTTTGCGCAGCCCTCCTTTGTTCGGGGTGTAGAATGGGTCCTGCACATTGATCTTACAGACAGGTTTGCGAGCAAAGATATCCGACTGACTGCGGGACAGAGTAATATTCCTCCGTGGACGTGGGGATTTTTGTGGGATCTTGTCATCCTGTGGCACAGTGGAAATTAGGCGCTTCACTCCTTGAGGTTTATCACTGGATCCTTTAGCAGAAAAAAATAAAATAAGAGTGAGTGTAATGCACACTAATTTAATAGCTAAAAAATAATAAGCAACATGTCATATACTGCAATGTACAGAAGTACTTTTGAAATTAAATCACATTATATTTAATTTCTGCTTTGTCAATATCATCTTGCGTACATACAATGAACACAGGCAGGAAACTCTTCTCCCCAGTGAGAGCCGAACTACAGCTCAGGCAATCGCTGCCTACAGCCTAGCTCACAAAACTGGTGAAAAAAAACCATGCAGCAGCCAATGCACATCTGCTACCAGCTTGCAGATCCACTAATTATTCTAGATCATGGGAACCACAGCTGCTGAGCATTAATTTATGGGATAATATCAGATCCAATAGACCAGAGTGAGGCGCCTCCTCTTAGTAAAGGAATCAAGCTGTAGCTGAATTCCTGCCCACGTATTTGGACGATGAAAGGTATTGGTCACATCTCAGAGAGTTAAACATGAAACTCTGTAACAGAATATTGGTGATCCAGTCGCTGACCTGGTCGGCACAGACAGGAGACATTCAGATGAGAGACACAGACTCACCTTTTGTGACAGGTTTTGTCTCTGTATTGTCTGGGCTCAAGGCCCGTCTCTCATTCTCGGCCTCTTCATTTTTCAAACGATTTAGTGCTTGTTCAAGCTGTTTCACAATATCCGCAAAGGTAGGTCGAAGCTTTGGGTCCATCTGATTTATATATAAAAAAATAAATAAATTCAAAAGACAATTACAAAAAATAAATAAATGCAGGAAATCGAACAATCTAGCAAAGTATACAATTCACAAAATTAGGTATTTAATAAAAAAAAAAATAATAAACACAAAAACCTCAGTACAATTCAAAATAAAGAAGATTCACTGTGCTTTTACCAAATATAGAGAGGTTCTCATTACTAATCTCCCAGGTAATGAGAGGTGGGCGGCTGCCACATTAAACGTTACTTTGCTAAATGGAAATAGATTTTTTTTCTTATTTAAGAAGTAGATTGAGAGGAAATAAATTGTGGGTTTTTATCTTTAGCACAAGGAACATTAATACAATTCTGCAGACAGACAGTTCACCGATTAGAAGATGCATCCAAAGAACCCAGCAGTATCGTTATACAATATACCGACATTGAATTTCGATTGCCATGTTATGTAGAATGAAGAAAGCTCTATGCGCATTTTATAGAATGATTGTGTAAAATACTAATCCTGCTTTGTGCTGATTTCAGGGCAGAAGCCTTCCTTTACACTGCCAGTGTTGCGATTTACTGATATTTGCAGTTCTGTGCTCATTGCAGTCAGTATTCATACAGTTATACTCATATGCAATAAGAAATTCACTACGCTTCAGATAAAAATCAATTAGGACATTTCATGAGGCAATTCTGAGGGAGTTCATTAAATAAAATATCTTCCAAAATGATGTGGAAGAGCTTTAAATCAGCCAGCATGTTTAAAAAATAAATACAAATTGGAACGCATTGTCGAACAATTCCGGCTCGGTTTTTCCTACATATAAATGCATATGCAGTACGTGGTAAGTCCCAAGGTAGAAAGAGATTTGACTAATGAAGGGTTACCTGGGTAGCTCAGGTAAGGGTTAAAATAAATAAAACGCAACCACTCCCTCCCAACCCCACTGGCTGCAAAATATTACAGAGAATTCTCGCCATGCAACTTGTTTTACCGAGAGAAGTCCAAAATAAAATATTAAAAATACATGGCCTCTCTGGGCTTCCGTACAAACCTGCAGTAAAAAATTACTATATTATCATATAGCCCCAACAAATTCCATAGCGCTTTACAGTGGGTGTACCAACATGTAATTCTAACCAGACATGTTGGACACACAGTAACAGAGGGATTGAGGGCCCCGCTCAGGGAGTTTACATGCTGGAGGGAGTGGGGTATAGTGACACAGTAACAGAGGGATTGAGGGCCCTGCTCAGTGAGTTTACATGCTAGAGGGAGTGGGGTATAGTGACACAGTAACAGAGAGATTGAGGGCCCTGCTCAGTGAGCTTACATGTTAGAGGGAGTGGGGTATAGTGACACAGTAACAGAGGGATTGAGAGCCCTGCTCAATGAGTTTACATGCTAGAGGGAGTGGGGTATAGTGACAGTAACAGAGGGATTGAGGGCCCTGCTCAGTGAGTTTACATGCTGGAGGGAGTGGGGTATAGTGACACAGTAACAGAGGGATTGAGAGCCCTGCTCAATGAGTTTACATGCTAGAGGGAGTGGGGTATAGTGACACAGTAACAGAGGGATTGAGAGCCCTGCTCAATGAGTTTACATGCTAGAGGGAGTGGGGTAAAGTGACAAAAGTGAGTTTTTTTTACAACTTGAAGTTTATTCGTGTTTTGGTTTAGTCAATCACATATCACAAAACAATATGGGTGGGGTAAGGGGGTACAAAAGATAAAGGGAGGGGTGCAGGGTACAAGTTGCATGTTACAGCGGTTGGTTTGTTAACTCTATTACACTTTTTACACTTTTTGATGCGTCAAATAGCCCCTTCATGTTTTTGTTGTGAGTTTTACCCTTGTTTTGGTCTGTTTTAGTTTCGGGTACTAGAGTCTGTTTGGGTGAAGGTATTTTGTTGCGTACATGGCCAGATTACTAATTGCCTCGTTTCCCGGTGGCGTTTGTGCCTTGTTATTTGGTAGCGGTTATACTTTTATTTTTTTTTTATTTTTTTCTCTTCCCCCCTCTCCTGCGATTACATGTTGGTGCTCGATACTTCGCTATGTATCCTTTACTGTGTGGTGCATTCAGCATTCCCCGGCATGGATGAGTGGAAGGGGGACGGGGGGGGACGAGGGGGCTGGTATTGTATCTTGGTACTCATTTGCGGGTTTTTTGCCTTTTTCCCACATCTCGTGGGCTTCCCTTATACTCGGGCGGGTTCCGAATTGTGTCGTTGCCATTAACTCATAAGACCAATTAAGGTCCATTTGCCTCATCAACTCGGCTATTGATGGTGTTGTGGTTTGTTTCCATAGCCTGGATATCAGCAAGTTCGCTGATATTAAAGTGTGGTATATAATGATTTTAAGATGTTTTGGGATGTTGGTTGGTAGCATGAATAATAGGCATTCTTGTGGTGTGTCCACCCTTATATTATGCATTATGTCGTTCAGGAGTGTGGACACCGCTTCCCAAAATGGGCTTATTTTGTCACAGGACCACCAGATGTGAAGCATTGTGCCTACCTCCCCCCCGCACCTCCAGCACTTGTTACTTGTGTGCGGCCATATTGCATGTAGTTTTGCGGGCACTAAGTACCATCGGTACATAATTTTGCGCTGCAGTTCCAAATGCGATGCGCACGCTGTTAGTCCTCTGTGGACCGAGTAGGACCTCTCCCAGATTTCCCTTGGGAATGTCTGACCTATTTCCCTGTGCCAGTCTTTCTTGATCTGTTCTAGTGTATGCGTTTGTGTTAAGGTTAACTTATGGTATCCCCATGACATTGATTTCTTTAGTGGTGCTATTCCTACACATTGTTGTTCAAAAACTGTCATGGTAGCTTCGTCTTCTATACCCGGTTGTTTGCTTAGTTTGCCTGTTATATATGATTTGAGCTGCAGGTAGGAAAATGTGATTGTGGTGGGCAGTGTGTATTCCGTTTGTATATCTGGTAGTGTTTTCAGTTTGCCTCTGTCAATGACCTGGTATATGTGGTGTATTCCCCCTCTCTTCCAGGCGTCTTCGCGGAATGTAGGTATTTCCATGCCTATTGTTTGTATTGGTGTGGCCAGGGGTAATTTGGGATTGGACACCAAATTGTTTCTCATTGTGTTCCATACCCTCATCAAGTTCTGTGTGCTGGGTAGCAGGTTTTCTCTTATGTGTTTGGGACACTTCTGTAGCCATAGTACCGCCCTGAGGTTGTGTTGTGGGGCCCAGTGGGATTCTATTGCTACCCACTGCGGGGCCTTTGCTCACTGTTTGGTGTAGTGTTCCTGCTGCTACTCGTACCTTTTTCCCTTCCCAGACGAATGTGTTTAATGAGTGTTGTACGCTTTTTAGAAACCGTTTCGGGACGGGTATTTGTAGTGTTCTAAATAGGTACTGGATTTTAGGTATGAGTGTCATCTTTACCGCTGCTATGCGGCCTGTCCACGAAAGAAATTTACCTCTCCATTTTTGTATGGCGTCTATGATTTCTGTTTGTATGCGCTCGTAGTTTAGTTTAAAAAGGTGTGCCGGGTTTTTAGATAACTTAAGTCCCAGAAACGTCAAGTAGTCGTTTCTCCAGTCCAGCGGGAATGCCGTCTGTAACCTGCCCAACAGGTCCGCATTAAGTCCCATCCCTAGGGCTTGCGTCTTGGTGATATTCAGCTTGTAGTACGAGACCTCCCCATATTCACGTATTTGTGTCATTAAATTTGGCAGGGATGTGAGGGGGTGTGTGATCGTTACAAGGATGTCGTCTGCAAAAAGGTTGAGTGTATACTCTGTCTCCCAGGGTTATACCCTTTATGGAACGGTTTGCTCTTATCGCTGCTGCCAGTGGCTCCAGCGCTAGGATGTACAATAGCGGGGATAGGGGGCAGCCCTGTCGAGAGCCATTGGTTATTGTGATTTGCTTAGATATAAACCCTGCATTGAGTACTCTAGCTGTGGGGTGGGAGTACAATGCCTGCACTGCCCTCAAGAACCCCTGGGGGAACTTGTATTTTTAGAGTACATCTTGCAGGAAAGACCAGTTTAGACGATCAAATGCCTTTTCCGCATCCAGGGATAGGAGGACCCCCCCACCCCCGGCTACGGAGTAGGGATAGGAGGTCCACTACTTTTCTTGTATTGTCCGACCCTTGTCGCCCAGTGGTGAAGCCCACTTGATCGTCATGTATTAATGTGGGGATGATGTGGGTCAGTCTAGTGGCTAGGATTTTAGCATATAGTTTAGTGTCAGTGTTGAGCAGTGAAATTGGTCTAAAGTTTTGACTGCAGGTGGGGTTTTTTCCCGGTTTGGGTAAAGTGACTATGTGGGCCCCCAGCATTTCCGCTGGCGCGCCTCCTTTTTGGGTTGCTGCGTTAAACAGGTGTGCCAGGTGGGGCGCTAGTATTCCCGCATATTTTTTATAATATGTGTTCGTAAGACCGTCAGGGCCGGGTGCTTTCCCAGGGGGTAAGCGTGTGATGGCTTGCAGGACTTCCGTTGTGGTGATGGGGACTTGTAGGGATTCTATTTGCTCCTCCGATAGAGAGGGTAGGGTTATGTTGTCCAAGTAGCGCTCTATGTGTCCAGGAGTTGGATGTGTTGTGTTAGGGTCTTGCTCTAGATTGTACAGTGTCGTGTAGTAATCGGCAAAAATGTCGCTTATTTCTTTTGGTGTCACTTTTTTTTCCCCGTGTGGGTTCAGCAGGTATGGGATTTTTGCCTTTATGCTTTGTTGTGTTAGTCGTCTGGCTAAAAGTTTGCTTGCCCTGTTCCCCTGCGTGTATTGTGTTGCTTTGAGTTTCCTAAGGCTAAATCCCATCTTCGCCAGGTCATGTGTCTTGATTTCCTCTAACTTCTCTTGTATTTGTGTTTTTAACAGCGGTGTTGGGGTCAATTGGTTTTGTTTATTAGGCGGGAGAGGGCTGTCAAGTGTTCCTTTAGTTTTGCTTGTGATTTCTGCTTTAACGCGCTGGTTTTCCCTATGATCAGTCCTCTGATTACTGGTTTATGTGCTAGCCATAGGGTTTCAGGGGAGGTGTCTGGGTGCGTGTTTGTCTTAAAGTACTGCTTAATATCTTCGGCTAATTGCTCGCCGAAATGCTCGTTGTGTAGTATCGATTCATTGAGCCGCCAGGGGCTGCGATGCTTATATTCATAAGCGTCATGTAGTTCTAAGGTGACAGGGGCGTGGTCTGACCACGTGAGGGTGCCTATGGAGCAATCCTTTAGTTGGTTGAGGAATGTGCCTTTTATGTAAAACCCATCTATGCGTGAGTAAGTGTTGTGCACTTGGGAGAAGAAAGTGAAGTCTCTCTCCTCCGGGTGCAGCACTCTCCATGCATCATACAAATCGTGCTCACTCATCAGTCGTGTTAGAGGTTTGCATTCCCGCGTCAGTGTTGCCGCTCTAGGTGTGTGGATCGGGACCGACGTGTCCCGTCGTGGGTCCAGAATATGATTCATGTCCCCACATATGAAAGTGATTCCCCTTTGTAGGTGTGCTAGCTGTGTGAGCAGTTTATGTAAGAAGTTTCTTTGGTTCGTGTTTGGTGCGTATATGTTGATTATCGTATATTCCGCGTTGTTGATTTCGCAGACCAGTATTATGTATCGCCCTTGATTGTCTACGTGTTCATATATCAGCTTAAAGGACACATCCTTACTGATTAGGACTGACCCCCCCCCCTGTTTTGGACGTATAGGTGCTATGGTACTGCGTGGGGAAGTATGCCTGCGCTATGGTCGTCGTCTGCTTGAGGTGGGTTTCTTGTAGGCATACAACATCTGGGCGTACTCTGCGCAGATCCCGGACTAGGCAGTGTCTTTTGACTGGGATGTTTAACCCTTTTACGTTATGGCAATATATTTTCATGTTTTATGGAGTGTATTGCTGTTTGGTAATGCGGACCTATATCTGGTGGGGTTCTCCCTGTATTCCTTCCTACTCTCCCGTTAGCCCTGAGACTGCACTTTTGCGTCGTGTCTTTGCTGCCCCTGGTCCAGTCGGCCGACTGGATTTCCTGCGGTTTCCCCTGCGTGCGTGTATTCCCTCTTTGCTGCCCATGCTCTTCAACTTTGTTCAGTACCCTGGGTTTTGGTACCCTACTGGTGGGGGTGAGATGGGTGGGGTGGGTTGGACGGTGGTGAACACTAATGTAACAGGTGTTCATAACATACAAATGAAGCATTACATCAATCAACATATATACAAGAACAATAACAATTATTTGCATTTCCCAATGTAGGGTTAGGCACCAGCTAAATAGTGCCGTGTGTGGACGTGGTTGTCTTGTGTGTTTCTGAGGGTAAAGGTTTATGTGTGAGCTTGCTGAGCCCGATATTTGCTGTCGTGTTTCTTTAGGCAGCTGTATTTTAACTGCCCTGGTGTAGGGCCTGGTAATGCCTAATTATGGTGTGCATCATAATGGCAGTATACTTCTCCTTTCGTGGGATTTTTTTTTTTGCGCGCAACACATGTGTATCTCTTTCCTGTCCTGAGTGGTGTGCTTTGGAATATCTCTGCCCTCTCGTTGGGCAAAAGTGTTTTTTTTTTCCCCCCCGTGTTTGTTCCCTGTCGTCTGCGTGTCTGTCGTGTGTGCGTGATTATCTGGCATTGTGTATACAACTCCGTGGTGTGGTGCAATGTCTATTATACTTGCGGCCGAGTGGTTGCCCGTCCGTGGCCGGGACTGCGGACTATTGTACTTCACAGTCTTTATTTTAACTGTTCAGTTCATTTCTTGGTTCTTTTCCATTCCGGGGATAGCATGGCTGGTGCGGCCATGTTCTTCCCCACTGGGTTCACTGGGATGTTCCAGGTGCGCAGGAGTCTCCGTCCCTCTTCAGGTGTGTTGGCTGTCGTCACCGTACCATTTCTCCGTATCAGCAGACGGATCGGATATCCCCATCTGTATTGGACGTTGTTCTGGCGCAGTGCTTCCGTGACGTCTTTAAATTCTTTTCTCTTTTGCAGTGTGGCTGCCGACAGGTCTGTGAAGAGTTTGATGTGTTTGTATTTCTGTGGCAGATCGCGACCCCCTCTCGTAGCTTGGAGTAGTGCCTCCTTCACGAGGAAGTAGTGTAGGTGTGTGAGCACATCCCTAGGGGTGTCTTGCGGTAGGAACGTTGGCTTCTGTACTCTGTGGTATCTGTCTAGGAGCAGTACCTCTGCAGGTAAATCTGGCGCCAATTCTTTAAAATATCCGATCAGGAATGCATGCAGGTCTGGCTGCTTCACCTCTTCTGGGATACCCCGGAGCCGCAGGTTCTGGCGTCTAGAGCGGTCCTCCAGGTCCATGACCTTGCGCTGTGTGTATTCCAGTTGCTGTTGCATATGCTGCACTTGGTCTGCCACATCATTGTGTGCAGCAGTCTGATCTTCCATCTTTTGTTCCACGTGTGTCATCCGATCTCCCAGCTCCTGCACATCTCTGCGGAGCTCTTTCAGAGTGCTCTGTAAGGAGGTTAGGATCTTGGTGGACATGTCCTCCAGGCAGTTTTGCAAAAAATCTTGTGTGACCGGTAGATTTTGCGGCTCAGGGGAGGACTGTAGTGGCACTGTGTCGTTCCCGCCGTCGCCATCTTGGTCTCAGTCTGTGAGGCCTGCGGCTTTAGGCGTCGACGCTCTGGCTGCAAAAAAGACGGATCGGTCCGCTTTTTCGCCCTGCTTCTTCTTGGTTGTGTTGGCCATGTTGCCAGGTCGCAGGTGGGTCTTTGGGAGCTGATTAATGCTTTTGTCTTCGCTTTGTCGGGCCAGCGTTATGCGGAGCTCAGATCCGAGCGACCATCCGCGTTGCTCGTTAGGCCACGCCCCAAAAGTGAGTTTTTAATGATTTTTTTGAAGGAGTGGAGACTGGGTGAGCGTCTAACAGAAAAGGGAAGGGAGTTCCACAGGAACAGTGCAGCCCTAGAGAAGTCTTCGATACGAGCGTCAGAGGTGGGAGTACGAACAAAGGATAGACGTAAGTCTTCGGCAGAGCGCAGGGGCCTAGACGGGACATACTTGTGTATTAGGGAGGATAGATCGGTCAGAGCAGCATTATGTAGAGATTTGAAAGTAAGAACCAGAATTTTATATTGAGCCCTATATTCTACAGGAAGCCATTGTAGGGACTGACAGAGGGGTGAGGCATGGGAGGTGCGGACGGACAGGAAAACGAGCCTCACCGCCGCATTTATTATAGACTGCATTGGGGCAAGTTGAGAAGCAGATTACAGTAGTCAAGGCGAGAAAGGACAATGGAATGGACCAGCACCGTAGCCGCATCTGGCGTTAAATAGGGGCGGATGCACACAATGTTTTTAAGATGGAAGCGGCAGGATTTGGCGATAGACTGAACATGAGGGGTGAAGGAGAGGTCGTAGTCAAAGAGAACACCTAGGCAGCGAGTCTGCGCGGTGGAGCTGATGGTAGCACCATTAACGGGGGAAGACAGAAACGGGAGTAGCAACACTTGAGGGAGGAAAACACAGAAGACACCCACACACCCACACTTTGCATTATGCTCTTCATCTGAAGAATTAATAAACCCCTTTAAAGTCACACGGCGCTCACTGCTTTACGTATTTATGAAACCTTTTGCCAGTGGGCACTAGTAGAACACGGTCTGTGTAGATAATGTGCTGTGATGTCATTCCAAGGGTTATACACTGAGGAAGTCCTCAGTCTGGCTTGATTATGTACAGCACAATTCAAGTTTATGGACACACAGGTTATTACGTACCAAGCCAGCAGGTGAATGGGAACTTTCTAAAATAGATTTTAGAGCCAATTTATACACGAATAACAAAGTTGCAATCATCTAAACATGTGTCAATTTCCTGCACTTGGCCATTTGGGGAATTCACTCAGAAAAGAATTTTCACATAAAATCGCTGGATAACTTCCTTAACGAAGAAAACAAACTTCCTTTCTCACCCTGAGAGCCACGGCAGCTTGCAAGCCGGAAACCATTAGAACTCTTCTCATATTATGGAGGTTACACAGAGACCCATGCAGACTCTGCTGAGAGCTGTATGAGGAAGGAATCAGGCTGGCTGAGGATGATGGGAACTGTACATCACTGGATTTAGTACATACTGTATTTAATAGAAAAGCTTGCGCAGATTGTTTGCAATTTCATCACAAGTCAAAAGATATAAATCCGATAACGTAGGGACTACACTGAGCTACGAGAGCTGATTTTTGGCTAAAGGTGAAAAGGGGAAGCTGCCATTTCCTATCAGCCATCACTCATGGAGGCAATTAAGAAACAATCCAATTCTCACCCACCTAGGGCATCTCGGTGCACAGAGACCCCACGGTCCTGGAGCTGGACTGGTAGATGGAAAGTATCGAGATGAAACAACTTGAAGTACACGTGCCCCCCCCCCCCCCCCCGGTGCTACCAGGGATGTAGATTTGTTAACTTGAAGGATCCATGTAAAAATGCAACCCCCCCCCCCTCAAAAAGGACACTGCCATTACAACACTAAAATTAACTTGAATCATAATTCATTTAACATTGGGCTAGCACGCAGTATCTTGAGGTGTTCTAATAACCTAACACTGCCCCAAGGTCTGTTGGGTTAATTTGAAGAATACAGAATATTTTGAAATAGTCATTGTTGTCCAGTTCATTTCAGTTTGTACATTTAGTGAAATTGTTGGAACACTCACATTGCAGCAATTAAAGGTAAGCTGAAGGAAGTCAGGGGGGCAGTCTCCTACCATGTGCTGGAAGGCGTGATAATCCAGGCCGAAGTTCTGCAAAAGAGAGGAATTGTTAAAGAAACATTACTTTTCGATGACTATGAATTACTACCTCCTATATATACATCCGCCTAGCCCGATCCAGGGTTAGCAAGGGTTAAGCAGGTTCCAAGCTGTGACTACAGAGAGCACTGATAACATTCAGGGGATTGTGTCACAGTAACTAGGAATTCAAATGGTTTGGCTTTAGGAATAGACTGTTATCTACTCCATTTACTGGCCACATAATTCACCACGTGAAAGACAGCACGCAGTAAAAGGCAGCACCTACATGTTAAACTCTTAACCCACGCAGTAAGTAAACGTGTCAACGAGGTGAAAATTGCGAAATGAGCAGAATTAACAAACCTGTCTCACATTCCTCAGATTTCACCAGAGCTAACGGAAGCGTTGCATTTTGCAGGGTAGTAACACACAGCGGCTGTGATACACAGGTCACACACACACACACACCGTGCAGCGGCTGTGATACACAGGTCACACACACACACACACCGTGCAGCGGCTGTGATACACAGGTCACACACACACACACCGTGCAGCGGCTGTGATACACAGGTCACACACACACACACCGTGCAGCGGCTGTGATACACAGGTCACACACACACACACCGTGCAGCGGCTGTGATACACAGGTCACACACACACACCGTGCAGCGGCTGTGATACACAGGTCACACACACACCGTTGCAGCGGCTGTGATACACAGGTCACACACACACACCGTGCAGCGGCTGTGATACACAGGTCACACACACACCGTGCAGCGGCTGTGATACACAGGTCACACACACACCGTGCAGCGGCTGTGATACACAGGTCACACACACACCGTGCAGCGGCTGTGATACACAGGTCACACACACACCTGTGCACAGCGTGCAGCGGCTGTGATACACAGGTCACACACAGCGTGCAGCGGCTGTAATGCACAGGTCACAAACAACGTGCAGCGGCTGTAATGCACAGGTCACAAACAACGTGCAGCGGCTGTAATGCACAGGTCACAAACAACGTGCAGCGGCTGTAATTCACAGGTCACACACACCGTGCAGTGGCTGTAATACACAGGTCACACACACCGTGCAGTGGCTGTAATGCACAGGTCACACACCGTGCAGTGGCTGTAATGCACAGGTCACACTGCAGGGAATGAAAAGGGAACGTGTCATCTAAGCAGTGTTTTATCAGTCTATCAGAGACAAGCGTGGCAGATTTTACCAATTCGTTTTCCCGTCTAATTCCTTAGGATAGTAGAGACATGGAAAAAACTATTTGTGGAGCTCTAGTACAAGAAAAACCACAAACACTCAAATGTTTTATGAAGCCAGGAATTATGGAAAGTCAACAAACATCAACTTAGCCATTATTTCCAGCTCAACTATTTTGGCTTAATATTTGCAATTCCCAATAAATCTGTTTTAGCCCCAGCTGTACTCAGGGAGCCCCAATTTATTATCAGTTTGTGCTGTGGTGGAAGACTGGGAATCACTGTAGTGGAGTGCAGTATGGTGTCTGTCAAAACGTATATACAGAACTTGGATTCTGGACAGATAGTTAGAGAAATCCCATGTTTGAATCCCGGTCAGACAACCTCACCAGTAAGTGTCCCAGGGTGTGTGACGCCTAACAATAATATCTACCAAACTCAAATGCTCATTATTGTGATTTATATAGCACCAACAAATGCTGCAGCGCTGTACAATGAACTGTAAGCTCATTGACCAGGGCCGACTTCACCCTTTATCTCTATTAATATTCTTTATGTCAATTACTTGTTAAATATCCCCTTTCTCTGGTTGTAGAGCGCTACTCAATATGTTGGCACTATATAATAATAGAAATATGCATGTTGCCCGCTCTGGTGGCACAGTATGTTACTGAGCTCTACACTCACACGGTTAAGGACATACTGTCCCTTTAAAAACCACAGCAACTGGAACATAAGCTACTCACAGTCCTTTAGCGCTCACCTCTGTGCGTGGCAGATAATCGGGGTCCGCCTGTATCCGAGCTATAATCTCACAGAGGATAATTCCATACGAGAACACATCTGCCTGAGAAGGAAGAGGAGACAAGACTTTTCAAGGCATTATATACAGGAGGAGGCCCTGCATTAGGTGGGAAGGCGGAGGCCCTGCATTAGGTGGGAAGGCGGAGGCCCTGCATTAGGTGGGAAGGCGGAGGCCCTGCATTAGGTGGGAAGGCGGAGGCCCTGCATTAGGTGGGAAGGCGGAGGCCCTGCATTAGGTGGGAAGGCGGAGGCCCTGCATTAGGTGGGAAGGCGGAGGCCCTGCATAAGGTGGGAAGGCGGAGGCCCTGCATAAGGTGGGAAGGCGGAGGCCCTGCATAGGGAGGGAAGGCGGAGGTCCTACATGACTGGTTTTAAAGAGGGAGTAGCTTTGACTACAAGTCCTCTGCGATTTCCTGTGCAAACAAGAGGTTCTCTCTCAGGATTTACATGCAGTACAGGAACTGGGAAACTTAGCTGACAAAGGTTTAGCAACTTTACGAGTCAGAAACACATTTGCATGTCAAAGATGATTTTATTAGAAGCCAGGGAAGAAGAGGTCCACAGTGATGGCTACCAGTCATATGTTGCACGTAAACTGTGAATCCTTTAATTAAACCAGCAATACATTCGTGTTTATTGATACTAAGTATAAAGGGTTTGGATTGCATTGGTTGTTGTTTATTGTTCCATTTACATTAAATTGGATTTCAAGCAATGTATGTTAAAGGGAATGGGCAGGTAAAATGACAAAGCAAAGTACACAGAGGAGAATACAGTAAGCCTACAGCCGTATCATTTCTTAGAACGGAGGCTCTGCTGCATTACTGACACACAAAAAAAAAAATGTACTTTTGCACAAAACAAATGATAAGCATCAATGGACTGGTACCAGGTTCTCTGCATTCCTATTGCTGTCATGTCAAATAAATGGTTTAATATTTTACCAGCAGTCAATGCTCTGCCATTCTGTCACGTTAGTTTTACAGTTTAGGAATGTCACTTATTTTCCATGACAACACAGGACGATAATATTGACTTGTCCATTCAGTTACTATGCATTATACCGTACTTTATCAAAAAGAGAACACTTGAAATGCTTGCGTTGTGCACCAATGTAACAAGAAATCCTTACTTATAATACAAAATTTTTTTTTCCTCAAACCCCAAATATTCTAAAATGCCCCAGAAATGTGTGAAAGTGTCTTTCAGCATATTTAACAATCTAGTTCACTACAGCCTCTCATAATCACTGGTTATCAGCTGATACTAAATGTTACTAAACAGTATTACTTTCATATAAATATGTATCGCATCATTTATATTTACTGTTTACTTTGCAATATTTTCACACTGTGCACATCATTCAAATCTTGTGGTGAACAATATCAGTTTCTCAAAGTGATAAAACTAAAGAGGCAGGGCCTAGCTGCAATGGTGGATAGACATTGTAAGACCACCGGAGAGGCACATAAACATTGACATGTAACAAAATATGAACCCAATATAGGGGGGGTAAGTAAGCCTAAAACTTCGCCAGCCTACACCACGCTGCGAGAAGCTTTTTATTTGTTATACCAAAATGTGTGCAGATCTCTTTTATATCATACAATGACATGTCTGCCCAACCGGCACTGCAAAAATTAAAAAAAAACCTTTTCATTTATTTTTAATAATAAAAAATCTGGAAAAGATTTTACATGAAGCAGGCTGTTTTACTAAACAGAAGTTTGCAAGTGTGGTTTGATAAAAAAGCTCTATATTTAGCTTGTATAGACCATTTCCTAGTGTAACGTTCTTTTAATGTACATTAACGGTAACAGTGTACTTCATAATCCGGCTCCTGGTACAGTCAGTGCACACACAGAGGAGGAGAGACTGATCACTCCAAACAGACTGACAGGGGCCAAGGGCAGATCTTATAACAATGATGGACAGGAAGCCAAGATGGAGGTGGCCAGCTGCAGGATAAATGCACATTCCTTAATTACAGGGATAAATAGACAATGCTAAAAATCCAGTGGGATGACGATTGCTCTTTAATGTAGACACACCACTTCTTCCCAGTTTCACACCAACTGCCTCTCTCTGCCTGCTGACTGAGCTTTGTTGACAAAGTCCCAGAAAATAAAAAATGGCATCAATTAAAGTTTTAACGTAACAGAATAACGTCTTTTCCATTGGTAATACCACTGTTTCGCAAGCTCAAACACACTTACCAAGAAATAATTAACATAAATCCCACACATACCTGTAGTTTGTCATTATTTTAGTGTATATCAAGGCCAGAAAAATAAATTATATTATTCATATATATATATATATATATATATATATTCTTTAATCTCGGAGTACGGAGTTAATATGAAGCAGGGAAGTGGCTGGGCCCTGGACCAACATTTAGATTGTAAGCTCACTGGAGCCAGTCCCTTAGACTCAGAGCATTCAAATTTGCTTTGTAGGGTTTTCTTTGGAATTTTTCCTGCAAAATCTCTTCTGAACAAAGTAACGCGCCAGTTCTAAAACAAGTCCAATCTCTGGCTATTTCAAATTGTCAGACCTTTATTTCCCTACATTGTAATATTTACACCAATACTTACATTACAATAAGTGATTGCTTTGCAGAGCACATAGAGCTGTTCAAACCCACCTTTTCATTATAGGGCTCATCCCTCAGAACCTCTGGTGCCATCCAGTATGGAGACCCTACTACAGAGAGCTTCTCTAATCCTTCACTGAAAAACAAAGAGGGGTAAATTACTCACAGATGGGGCACATCACAGCCTTTTAGATATACGCTACATGACTCCATGCAGTGAGAAACCAAAGCAACAGTTAAAGAAAGGGCTGTCAAGCACTTAAAGCGACACTGCAGACGTCTAAAGCACTTGAAATAAAGAGTGTCTTCATTTTACAAAAAAGTGCAGGTTAAATGAATCTTGTTACAGCCCCCTGGCTATCTCAGTGGAGATAAACTCACAATTTCCAGATCTGAATTGCCCAGAGCACCTGCCTTGCAAAGACTTCTCATTGAGCTGCATTAGGAAGTCTGTGATTGGACAGCCACAGAAAGTCTGGGTGGGGTTAGAAGGGGAGGGTTTGCAAAGGCTGCAGACAAAATATCTGTAGTTGTTTTAGATTTGTCCCGCAACCCCTCAAAAATATAAAGCATAATTAAATTCATGCATGTTTCTATTCGGGGTATATCTACCAAACAATGATTGCTTTTGCAGAGACGACTGCACGCTGCCAGTAACAAGAGTTAAACACCCATATCCTTGACACAAAAACAAAAGGAATTTGTTTTGTAATTTATTTTCACTTTCCACACGTGCGGGCTGCTCTACATTGAATGTCAAATGCTATGAAAGAGCTTCCCCCAGCTCGGTTTGCCTAACTCGCTGTGCAGTTCAGGGAGCTGGCAGGTGTTGCTGTGTCCACATTCCCATGATCAGGTGCAGAATATTATTGGAAAGAAGGGAATGCTCAAAGCAGAGTGTTCTAACCTCAGACAAGCCCTATAAAGGCAATAACCAAAACATACTCCAGCCACTTGCAATGCCAGGGTTATCCATCATTTTAATTTGAGATCATTTGCATCTGCCATCACTCCAACATCTTAGCAGTGCATAATGGGCACAATACATAGGAATTACTCAAGCAGGCATAGGGGATGTGCCTGCATCTTAAAGGGCCACTATAAGCACCCACACCACTTCAGCTTAATGAAGTGGTCTGGGTGCCAGGTCCATCTATGATTAACCCTGCCTGCTGTAAACATAGCAGTTTCAGAAAAACTGCTATGTTTACATATGGGTTAATCCAGCCGCTAGAGGCGCTTCTCACTGTGATTTTCACAGTGAGAAGCACCTATAGGAAAGCATTGAGAATGCTTTCCTATGGACTGACTGAATGCACGCGCTGCTCTTGCCGCGCATTCAGCCGAAGAGGGAGGAGAGTCCTGAGCGCGAAGGAGCCCGGCGCTGGAGAAAAGTAAGTCTTTAACCCCTTCCTCATGCTAGAGCCCGGCGGGAGGGGGTCCCTGAGGGTGGGGACACCCTAAGGGCCCTATAGTGCAGGAAAATAAGTTTGTTTTCCTGGCACTATAGTGGTCCTTCAAGTGATGCCCATGTATAGGATCATACCTCAGTTGGGACACTCATTGAAAAGGTATACCTGCTAGAAAACATCTATCCCCTGACGACGTACAGTAACTATAGAAGGAAGAGACCATTTAACTCAAACATCAATGTCAATCTTGGCGATTAACAGCGATAAATATCTATTACGGTCTATATTCAAAGAGGCAGAGTGGTACACAGTCCCTTGGTTTGGACTCATTTCCCCCATTTTAATACTAGTTTCTTTGATTCTGTCAAGTTATGCCAACACCGAGCATTTAAATAGTGTCAGTACAGACATGTCTTGGAGCATGAAGCCTACAATGTCACTGTAATAAGCTTGCATTTAAAGCCTCTAAGTTAGAGGCAAGCAGCCACGTTCTCAGTACAGTAACAAAGAAATGATCTGCCAAATGTTTTAACCCTTCGTGTATATTTAGTTTGCAATAGCCGTGTTGATAGCAGAGCCAGAACCAGCTTTCCAGTACAGACTCTGCAGAGCTGCAGCAGATACACATACACACACGACAATGTATGGTGAGAATAGTATAGACTAGGAGTAAAAAAGTTTATGTTACATATTGAGAAATGTTATTTATTTGCAACTCTGTTTTCCCACCTGTAGTCTCATTAATTGGTAAATGATTTTTAAAGATTTTCTGTCCAGACAATATTTTCTGTTTTTATTTCCATTAAATAATACGCTAGCTAGGCACACTGAAATGAAAAATAAATGTAAACATTACTTTCCAGGACACCTAAAATACTCAGACTCTGCAGGTGGTTTTTCTGCAAACTGATGGCAGTGAAGGGGTTAAGCGTTTAAGAGTGTACCTACTGGCAGGTAATGACTTGTGACATTTTCAGATGGGAAGGCAACAAAATGCCTTAAAAGGTGTTTCCACTAACTGTACAGGCACGTCTAGGAGCATGGATGGCTGGCGGGACTGGCCAATGCCAAGAGGTTCTGCAGCGGCTGCAGAGTCTCTTCCAAGCTGTGCCCTAATCTGCTGCAGAGAGATCGTATACAGTGAGGTCAAACCAGGCGGCCTGATATTTCTATCATCCATATACAGACCAGGCCCTGCAACTGGGCACCTAAACCTATACAGAGGGGAGCAAAGCAGATTAAATAGAGGGTAAGTGGATTAAATTGACCATAAACTGTACTTATTCTAAAAGTATCTTTTATTTCAGAACAGAAAATCTGTGAACAGCCACAATTTGCAAAAGGTGGTTTTAAGATACATAGAGTTTAGTTAGATAGACAGCAGCACACACTAAACCATACATTTAAAATAAAAATGGCACTGGGAATGACAATTTAAGGACGTCAACAGCATAAATGAAAACAATTCCCCATGCCCCTACATTCCCAACCTGTGTTATTTGTTCTGAATTTGGCCTAAGTAATCCGCTTTTTGTTTAATTGCTTAAAGGTTAACTCCAGAACCCTAAATAACTACAGCTTGCTGAAAAGCTTTATGTGTGAAGAGTGTGTCCCTCTTGAAACTTTTTTTTTATAAATTAACCTGGTTACACACTTAGCTTTCAAGCAGACATAAGGTAATGTTACTTCTTGGTTTGGTTAGCTCAATGCAGCTGACCTCAAGAGACAGCAATTGTCCAGAGCACCTGCCTTGCAAAGACTTCTCATTGAGATTCATTGGGAAGCCTAAGATTGGACAGCCACGGAAAGTCTGGGCGGGGTTGGAAGGGGAGAGCTTGTAAAGGCTGCAGACAAGAGTTCTGCAGGTTTTGTAAGCTGTTAAGCTGTTTGTTTTTTTTATACAACTCCAACAAAAAAGTTCATAATTGAATGCATTTAAGTTCTCATTGGGTATATCAACTAAACAGTGATTTTAATTTATTTTGTATTTGGGCAGTGGGGCGTCTCTTTAAATTGAAGACATCCAAGGATCTGAGGAAAAATAGGCATTACTATAGGCTTTATGTACTACATAACATAGCTAATATATTAATAAATAAAAATGGCATCCCACAAATCTCTGCATTGCATGTTTACAGGCCATCGAGAGTACTAAACAACCCTGCAGGATTACTCATCTTAAATATGACCCAATAATGGGTCGATCGTGTTAATATCCAATTAGTATTGTGCATTAATCTTCTCTAACTCTAAACTCGTATAGACGTGCCTCTGACAGATCCACATTGTTTAGCAGAGAAATGTTCCAATCTTGTTCCATTAAAGCCAAAAGGCTGCTTTGTTGCAGATTTCCTAGTCCAAAGCTAAGGAGCAGCAACCAGATCCAATTCTCAAAACAGATTAATGTAACAGGCTCAGAACGGCCGATTGGGGAATACTCTCCTTTCAATGAATGTTCTGTATTTCCAAGAGGAGGAGATTTTATTGGTCTAAATTGCACAGTAAGTCACCAGCTGCAGGTATTTGCAGTATTGATCCTGCACGGTACGGAGCGAGACTTGGCATTCTCTCCGCACCCAGGAGAACAAGGAAGACTGGATTTTCAACAAAACATTTGATGTGGTAATATACGCAATGACTAACCGCACTAACCACTGCCAGCTGCAGCTCTCTGGTAACCCACATTAAAGAACCCAGACAGGAATTGCAAACATAGGTATTGGGGGTCCGGTAGGAGTGCAAACTCCACATTTCTGTAGTTACAATTGTGGCTGTGTTCACGGTTTGTGATGGCTGAAAACAGGTCAGAGCAGAGCGAACCTTCACAGGGAGTTCTTTAAAGTACAGATTTATTTAGTATTTATACAGATTATTCCACAAAGCGCTACAATGTCAAATCAAGGCACTTCATAGAAATTATTTAATTTCTACTTCCCAATGCCACTTGGCATTGTGGGAAATAACACAAATAAAATATGTATTTTTAGCTGGCATGTTCCAATTCAGGATTTAAGTTTCAATTTGAATGTCACAGTGGTCCTGGTTCTCTCTCATGACATCATGTCTAATTGTTCATACGGCAGGCTTGCTTTAACCAATTTCCCTCAAACTAATATCAAACTAGCATATCATCAGATTAACCTAACCGCATACAACGGAGGCAACAGTCCTAGCACCATGCATCTCTAAAACACAAATTAGGACCATTTCAGCCATTAAACGTGTTCAAAAAATGTGATTTTTAAACAGATGACTTGGTTCCCTCAAACCAGCAAGTAAGGTGATGAACTGAAAGGATATATGTATGCATTACAAAAGAATATACACACAGACGCAATAAAACAAAGAATCGTATTTAAAAATATATATATATATATATTATGGTTTTTCTGGAAGAGATGGATTGTGACAAATGATTTGAAAGGACCTGTTAGCTCAATGAACAGTGTACGGAGATCCGCTAGAGGTAGGTCAGCTGCACTGACCCAGTAAAACGTGGTCACGTGATCTGGAAACCCCATAAGAAAGCATACAATCAATGCGTTACTGTGGAGACTCCAACATGCATGGGGTCCCCAATGATCCTACATGAGAAGCACTGGTAAGAGCTTTTATTATTATTTTTAGGGCACACGCAATGGGGGGAGGAGGGGCGAGCTATATAAACAAGGACAGAGACACTGGTGTGTTAGGAAGACAAGTTTGTATTCATAACGCTTTAGTGCTGATTTAATGGCAGGCGTTGTTAGGGAGGTTTGGAAGATAGTGCTGGGTACAGCCCCGGCACAACACAGAAATTACAATGTATTTAATAAATGGTTGGGAATGGGGTATAAATAATACCTGTAATCTGGGATCTTCTCAGCCAGCCCAAAGTCTGCTAAAATTCCAGCGTATACACCTTCGTCACACTTTATCAAGCAGTTCTGTGTAAAAAAAAAAAAAAAAAATTTAAATAAAATGTAACAAATAATTATACATTTTCTACTGCAATAATCTGACTTTAGGAATAGCAGGGTGTTTGTAATGGGACACCCAATAATTTATTGCTACATAAGTGCCATAACTACAAATTTACAACAATAAAACTATATTATAGAATACATAGATTGCTTGCCCTGCACTGCAGAGTCTATGAAATCTGTACAGTGTGATATATACATAGTCACACGGCGATAATATAAATATCCAGAAACCTGGGTTATGATGAACAAATTAGTAAAAAGAATCCATTAATGGACATTCTGTTTGTTTTCGTGCTGTGCCCTATTAGTTTGCTGCTATGTTCCAAGCGTTCAATAAAACACTGAAAATGTATAATGGGCTGGAAACATCTGCTCTGAAACACAGAAACAAATGGAACTTTTACCAAGTTTAAAAAATCTGTTGACAGAGCGTTTGTAAATAGTGGATTATGGATGTTCTTCCAGGGAATTTACACTATGAAATCAGGTCCTGTATTTATCAAATCAAGCGAAAGAAGTAGTGGATCGGAATTGTTAGATGACAAACTCGGCTCAGCCTTAAAGGAACATTCCAATTGAAAAATATTATATACATATTTCACATGTTCACTAAACATGGCAACAAAATGTAAAAAGAATGTCTACATTTCAGTATAACAACCACAAAGTAACATTTTAAGTTATTTAAAACATCTACAGCAATCTATCTCCGACAGTGAAATGGTAGATCTTTCCTCTTCTCTCCTTGACTGTAGCAATGATATAACTAAAGGCTGCTCACTGTTTAGTAGACATGCCCCTACTCGCGGTATAGCGAGTAGGGGCATTTGGGAGATTTTAATCTCCCTTGTGCTATTATGGGGGTCATATTGACCCCCATAGAGAGAGAGGGGGACCTGGGGGGGCTTATGAAGTGGTGGGGAGCACTGCTCCCTGCCGCTTCTATAGTTACATATTACGCCGGTAGCTCCCTCCTTGTAATAACCTGCACGAACAAACAAACACTGATACTCAGATACACTGATACATAGTGTTAGTTTGTTCGGCTGATATTTCTATTCACTCATTCGTATGTCTGATGAATGGTGATTTCACTGGGCATGTGCGGGAATCTCACAGTCTGTCTAGTGTGGGCTGATGACGTGTCCCACAGGGACTTCATCTACCCACACAAAGATGGCGGCGCCCTGAATCAAGATCGGGGCAGAAAATAAGGATTAAAAAATAGGTAATGTGGGGGGCTTAGGGGCATTTGGGGGTGACAAGTGGGTCAATTGGATGTAGTGGAGGCGGGAGGGGGGTTAAAAAAAAAAAACGGGATTCGGCATGACAGTGCCGCATTAAGGTCAGGAAGAGGCAGCACTTGTTCCCAGCTGTGCTCATACTTATTAAGACACAGTCACACTGACCATTACCACCATGCAGATATTGGGAGAACCTTTTAGATGTGTTGCATCACCATAAGCACCCAGGATACAATGACTCTGGCCCCAAAACAATGGAAATCTCCTCTAGCTTACAGTATACTGCCAGAATTTCATGGGAGGAAAATACATTTAGTTGGACTAGTTCAGCATCCGATTTGTTTGGGAGATTTTTTCACATATGATTCTGGTTACTTTACAAGATCGTGCCCATTCACATTATAAACAGAGCACTATAAACCATGTATGGAAACAGAAAAGAAAGAAAAAAGGAAATGAGAACATTTTACTTTAAGATGAAAAATCCCTCTCCCCCGAGACACTGCATGCAGAGCAAAGGGCAAAGCTTAAGTTAATTTTTACACTTAATTACCCTCTATGGGAAATAAATTCCATCACTGTCTGAATAACACGGTTTAAAAAACACCACGATGAAAAATGTGGCAAATAAGACTTCCATTACTATTAGAATATTAGAAACAGCGGTTTGTGTTAAACTTGAATTGTTGCAGCAGTTCCCAACATTGCTTTAGAACGTACAATTTGGAAATCCTACACGGATCGCTAAACGATAATTAAACTGCTAATTTGTGTTTATATACAACTCTGTACAAGGGTTTATTCACTACACCAAAAATGCCTGAAAACCGACAAAATTACAACATGGAAGAGTTGGAAAACAGACATGTGTGAGAGTCTAATTTGCCGATTTTGCTTTAAACGTTTCAGGCCCTTTGTCAATTCTCCACGATTTCTAGATTGGCAAATAAATCCTCCATGTCGAACTCTGTTAAATATAATACATGAGCCTCTTTGCACTGTCTCCCTTCATGTGTCTAAACATGCAAAGGCACCAAACACTTGTTTGTCGTAGCCAACACATGGCCTTGTATAAAATATGCAAGTTCTTCATAAATGAGGTATTAACAAAAGATTAAAGGATAGACTGTGACCGCGCTCAGCAGTAACATCCAATTACAGGGTAGTTCCAGCATATGTCTCATTACAGACGGCTATAAAGTTCTGAGTGAGAGGCCATCACCACTGCAGGCATAAATAATGCTTCACAAAATGGTTATAGACAGAATTCCAAAACTGAATATAAATTGGGAAATATTTATACATGGACGTTAATCGACAAAGCTCAAAATTACCAGGATTGGCCTCAGTAGATTTAAAGCACTGTCTCAAAATCGATGTCTCTCAGCGTGCGTAACACTACACGATTTATTGCAGTAATCACAGTCCCAGCTCATTTTACCGAACGACTGTCCAGCTTGTAATGGATTCTTGTTTAACAGCCGGCAATAAAAGCAAAAATCTATTTAATAAAGGAGCTGTGTTCGTGTTACACAAACAGCAAAGCTATTTCATTTAGAAAGGGGGGATACCTCAAATTAAACAGGAGAGTGGAAAAAAATGCTTCTAAAATACTCACTGAAATGAGAGTATACGACCAAAGCTGTAAAGAAGAATAGTTCCATAGGCAAGGAAATTAAATTTCTCTTTGATTAAGCGTTTCCCTCCTGGGACAAAAGTGCAGAGAATGAGTTTTCATATGCCATGTAGCATAAGGAGAGATATCACAGTCGTCCATGTTCAGTGAAACAGACCGTGGTAAATGAGCATTGTCCGTAAACCTGAGATGGGTGAAGTGCCCAGGTTTCTAAGAGAAAGTTTTAAAAGATTAAACCTGAGATATTGCCACGGAATTCTAGGTAACCCTTTAAACTACCCTCTCTTCACTCCTGTCTCCTACTGCAAACAGATTCCATCAAAATGGGTGAAAATGGTTTTGTAGAAATCAAAGACACTGATTTTGTCAACTCGAGAAGTTTTCCAGAAAATCAATTAAACAAGATAGTAGGAGGCAGCATATTCATAAAACACTTTATACTCCACAGCAATCATTTCATAAGCTAAAAGCAGTAGCCACGAAAATAAATATATTAAATACAAATTCAATGAATACAGTGCATCTCTATGAGAAGATGCTGATTGGCACAGCGTGGCCTTTTGTCCTAAGGAAAGCATTGGATTGGCTGAGATCATCAAGATTGAAGGTGGAGCCAGCCAAGGATTTCTCCAGCATGGCGATGGAGAAAAGGGTAAGTTTAAACACCTTTGAACTCCACTGAGCAGGGATGGGGACCTAAACTGCTACTCCAGCATTACAGTGTTAGGAATACAAACATGTAGTTCCTAACACTATAGTGTTCATTTAAGGAAGGTCTTGCAGTGATTGTAGTGAGATCTATCGTGGATATATCTAAAGAAGTGAATGTCCCTATGTTTTACATTAAGTCCAGGGCCAAGTTGTAACCGGTATGGGCTGCCCCTAATGCTGTAGATATTAAATTAAGCTTTCTAATTGCAATTCCACACCTGTCCAAAGGGGGCATCAGTAGCAACTGTGGCTACTAAAAAAGACTGGACATACTCCATTTGCAATACCTTGGGTTGTCTACTATTGCAAATGGTATGCCATCATGGGGGTAATTCCCATTCCTAGGCTACCATACGCTCTCAAAAGCAACATAACCAATCCGGCAAATTTCAATGTGAAAAAACAGAAAATCAAGCCTTACATTTGACCCTGTAACTTTTAAAAACATCATAAAACCAGTACATTGGGGGTTACTGTTATATTCTGGAGATTTCACAGAACATAAATATTAGTGTTTCAAAACAGTAAAACGTATCACAACAATGATATCATTGTGAGTGAAAAATGCAAAAAGCGCCACTTTCACTGACAATATCGCTGTGATAGGTTTTACTGTTTTGAATCACTAATATGTGTTCAGCGAAGTCTCCCAAGTAAAATAGTACCCCCCATGTACAGGTTTTAGGGTGTCTTGGAAAGTTACAGGGTTAAATATATTGCTAGCAAATTAAGTTCTCTGGACTTTTGGCCTGGGTTGTCAGGCAGGTCCCTCAAATTGCAATCAATAAAATTACTTAATTAGGTAAAGATATTACATAAATCTGCACATATAATTTAAATATATGTACATATTTTAAAATATTTGAAGTCTACGTGTATATTTCTGAAATTATTATATTTCATATTTGTACATATATAATTTCATTCTAAGTGTATTTGATATAAATATATATCAAAATACAGTTCGAATAAAATTATATACACACACGTGTGTAATTTATTTCTAAGTGTATTTTTATATTAATATAAAAATACACTTTGTATGACATATCATATATCCATCAATATATATTTTTTATTTTTATTTTTCTAAAACATTTATTTTATTTTACAGATGCAGGGGAGACTGCCCATCAGTCCCCCTGCAGGCAGCACTGCACATACTGACTCCAAGCACCATGACCACTTCAAATCACAGAAATGGTCATGGTGCTTGAAATAATGCTTTATCAGAGCAGGAGATAACATCTAAAGTAAACACACTTGGCTGTATGATCTGATTGAACATTAAACCATTTTTTATGCAGGCTGTGTCAGTCACAGCGAGGGGAGGTGTGGCTAGGATTACATAAACAAAAGTGATTAAACTCCTAAATGACAGAATTGAGTAGTGAGACTGCAGGGGAATGACATATCCCAGTGGTTCCCAAACTTTGCCCTCAAAGCACCCCCTACCAGGTCAGGATTTGGAGATTACCCAGTTATGTCTAAGGTGTTTGTAGGAAAAAGAAACAAACACCTAGACACAACTGGGTAATCCCTAAATCGTGGACTGGTAGGGGTACCTTGAGAACTGGTTTGTGAACCACTGACCTATAGACTAAAACCACTTCACTAAGCCAAAATTGTCTGGTTGCTTAAGAGTATAAACCTTGAAACCTCAAAATATTTTCATGGGGGTGGTATTTTCCACAACTGGCTTTTTAGGAGGTGCACAATTTTCTACACCATTGGAAAGCTTCAGCTTGATCACAGCGTAGTATAGTTTACATCACAAATTAATTAGTGATACTAAAATCAGGTCAGGTTACCTTTGATGTGAGGTCGCGGTGGAAGATTCCTTTAGAGTGCAGATAGGCCAGGCCCAAAGCAATATCAAGGGCCAGTTTCATCCTTACAACCCACGATAGGTGCTGGTTGCTCTCCAATAGTTGTTCCAGATTGCCACTATTAATGTACTAGAAAAAGAAACAAGTATTAGAGCCCTCCTCTAGTGCACAGACAGACAGACATGTGTGCAATTAATCACATTCATTCTCTGTGAACACAGACCCAGGCAATGGGGAAATTGAACCTTTTGGAATTGTAAAGTTTATTGTGCTCTTTATGGCAAAATAAAATAGATAAAATAAATAAATATTAGATTCTATGGTCACGAATGAGCAGCCAGTTTCACAGGTTAATTGGTTAGAAGACAGTTGCATCACTCAAGAAGCAGGCGCTGGTATAACGCTTCAAGGATCCTACCCAGGCGGCCAGCTGACAAAATAGAAGCACAACTCTGCGCTGCCAAAGAAAATTCTGACTATACAGAATATGCCATGATTGGGATAACGCAAATTTTATAATATTACCAATTCCCTGTTACTGAATCGTGCCAAACCAAGTGTGCCAAGAGTATGGTAAGCTATCGGCCAAAGGAATTTGATTGCTACCATTTTCTGTGATCCAGAATGCTTTGTGGGAGATTTAAAGGTATACTCATGGCAGATTCTGAGTGATTTGTGCAAGCAATACAAATTGTATAAATGACTCTGAAGTGCCAGCATTTACAGCTAACCCTCAAGGTTTTCTGCTTCCTGCACTGATCTCTTCCTAGGCTAGGAAGTAATGGACCCCAGTAAGAATCCTAGCTATCTCACAATGGGATTTCTGTGCATATTCTATAAAGGCTTCCTCCATAGGTTTTCATGGGTTATGTGTGGGATAGGCAACACAGAGAAGCAGTTACGTTCATCATAAAATAAGAAGGAAACTGCTGCTTTGGATAAATTAGGACAGTTGTATTCATGGTTTACAAGAAGGGAGCTACAGATTGGACTGTACGTGTGGGCAGCCAAACCCCTGGACCGTCACAAAGTTTGTATCTCGTGTGTTTACAGATTAATGTGTGTGGGGAGTGTGAGAAGGACTTACACCTGCTGCGAGTTTGCAGTTACTACAGTTATTAACAAATGACAGAAGATAGATTGAGAAAAGGAGCTCTATATCATACATAGTTATGGTGCTTGGACTGGTCATTAAAGTTAAACTAATGCTTATTTCGTAATTTAATTTTCATCATTCACAATGTTATACCCAAAACTTCCTCTACTTTCACAAATGTGTCAGTTCCTCATCGTGAACTAAGAAGACGGACTGGGGAATCAACAAAAACACAAACTCCCCAGTAACGCTGAGAAAAAAAAGACTAAACGTGAGAATGAAAAAATGAAACCACTTGAAATGAGAAGTTAATCACGCTACTTTATATGTAAATGATACAGAATCCAAGGAGGTCTACGAGGATTGGGGGATTAAGACAAATCCTTAGACTGAGATTGTTACCACGTGAATTCAAGATATGTACTTACAAATACTGCCAATAAAATGTATCAGATCTCCAATATTAATGATCCCTTGCATGATTGCCAAGGTTACAATGCAGAGTCGCGTATAGCTGGCGAAGTTTGTAAATGAAAAAAAATAAATAAAAACCCCACAACTGTAAACCTTCCCCTTGGAGCGGATATGTGCAAAGGAGGACGTTTTACTTCTTCAATCAGTATGGTGTGTGCTGTGATACATGCTCCCTCCTGTACAAGAAGTGTCTGGGAACGAAGCAAGAGAAACATGCTGCATTTCATACAGAGGGTTCACAGATACTGTGTCAGCTAACTTCACATATCCTCAGTAGTTCCGCAGTGTCTTCCTTTTGGAGTCTCTGCAGCGTCCACAGTTTATATAACGGTAGACGGCTACAAACTGCAGGCAGGTAGTTAGAGCAGCTGCCACTTCCATGGAACAGGGAGACAAAAGGTTGGTACTCTCAATGCTGAGAACAACCTTAGAAATCTTAAAGAACACGTGTTCCTTGTTACAGCATTAACCACAAAAACAGAAGCTCGACCCAAGTATAATAAAATGATATGCCATACCAGCAATGCGGACACCAGATCCGAATTAATTCACTTTACAGCCAGTGGCCTGTGAGCATTAAACATCCATGGTTAACAGGCAGACATCTCCAGACTGGACCCTCAATAATTGTAAAATAGGTTTTATCTTCCATTTAATGTGTTACGAATATGAGGGTCACTTGAAACCCTGGTGTGTAGCTGTAATGTCTAACTGAAGATTAACAGCTATTCCCATAGGAAACGGTCATAAATGGAGTATATGGAAGGGAGCTCTGGGGGGACGCAAGAAAAATAAACTGAATGAAATTCTCCCATGTGCTCTGTATGATGTCTTTGTAAGCTGATTGCTAGGCTGGTAGTTACATGCACTCACAAAGAGGTACTGTAGCTTCATTCACAATTGAGGGATGAAAAAGGATCTTTGTTACAATCATTTTACAGTAAAAAAGAGGTTGGATGCCATAAAATGAGCACAACGAACCACAAGAGAAACATTTCAAGTGTATTTTAACGAATGCACAAAGAGACACTCACTGCACTAGAATACCTTTGCAGAGGGTACAGCTATAGCTTTAACCTATCACTACAACAAATAACAGACGTTTGTGCTTAATTAAAAGCATTTAAGTGTTTATCTGCTGTAGCAGGATCCCATATATATATGAAGTTGCTGCCAGTGCCATTTGCATGCTTTAAAAATAACGTTTACTCAGTCTGAGCAGTGTCCATCGCCCAAACCATTTACTAACATGGGTGGGGAGCAGGGAGCAGATTACAGTTCTGTTCTTATACAGCCATAGTCTTACCTCAGTGAGAGCATGCAACTGGCCTTGATGAACACACACACCCATAAACCTAAAAAATAAAGGAAAAATAAAATTAGACATACATGGTCCTAGAACAAAGCATTAATAAGCAACTAATCGTCTTGACTCCATGATTCACAGCAGACGCATCACTGTCAATAAATGTTCCTCCACCAGTTTTAAAAGGCAAGCATCACACACGCTACTGTTCGTTTAGCTACAAATTATTCAATAAAAACACTCATGTCCTACACACAGAGGGAGACTTTTATAAAGGGTAAAAACAATAATAAAATAAATAAATAAACTACTATAGAGTTTAGCACGGGTAGCATTTTATCAAATGAGTTACAAGTTAAACAATTGTGCAGATATATTCAACAGAACTGCTGTAGAACGTCACGTGATCCCATGGATATGTTCAGTAATATCCTCTCTTAAAAAGGGAAGTGAATAAAATCTGATTATTAAAAATGTTATATTACAGGTTTCCTTATCCACTTATATCCCCAGGGCACGCATGAAAATATGAGAAATCTCAATGTATCCTGGTAAAATTTTATAAATAAAGAACAATAATAAACATGCCTTTTGTGAGGTCCACACTGCTGTATCTGGCTCTGTCCCAGACCGTGCCTCCATCTTGGCACGCTGTCAGAAGTTTCCGTTTCTTCTCCAATGCAATGTGTGCCCTGGGTACAATATTCCCTAAGGGTACTACATACAAGGTATGGATCAAATGGTTGGGCTAAATGCACAAAACCTCCAATGAGGTGAGCGGAATCGTAGGAAATGCAACGTCTAGGGCTAAAGGGAACCTGATGATCACAATAACAACACTATCCAAAGCCAAACCAGGAACTGCACTCATCCAAATAGAAAGACTTGGGTGCAACCAATCCAGGAACCAGCAACAATTCCTTAGAAAGCCTTGGGTGCAACCAATCCGGGAACCAGCAACAAGTCCTTAGAAAGCCTTGGGTGCAACCAATCCGGGAACCAGCAACAATTCCTTAGAAAGCCTTGGGTGCAACCAATCCAGGAACCAGCAACAAGTCCTTAGAAAGCCTTGGGTGCAACCAATCCAGGAACCAGCAACAAGTCCTTAGAAAGCCTTGGGTGCAACCAATCCAGGAACCAGCAACAAGTCCTTAGATACAGTTTGCAAGAGAGAAGGTGGTTCAGGCACGCCAAGATTTATGAAAGGTTAATTTGTTGGAACCCAAATGGCCAGCAGAAACGTTTCAACCACAATGGTCTTTTTTTAAGCTAGGAGCTAGCCACTGGGGTCGAAACGTTGCTGCTGGACATTTGGGTTCCAATAAATTTGCCTTTCTGAAATCTTGGAGTGCCTGAACCTTCTCTCTTGTAAACAATAACATAATACTAAGCAGGGTCAAAGGATTGCAAAACAAGAACAAAACCACAGAAACACCGAAGTACAAAGGGACGTGCGATCAGCTGAAAATGAAACTACAAAAAGGGTGCAGATAAAGGCCAAGGAGTGTTTAAATAGGCAACTACATTGCATCACTCCCATTTCTTCAAAATGTCCTTGGGAGTCAAAATCATTCACATCAATGTCTCAGCATTAGAAACTCAAGTACCAGATAGGATAAATGGTACGGCAGGGCAGTTTCTGACATCAACACTGATGCAACTAGCAGCTTTTGTAGGGGAAAAAAAAAAAAAAAGTCTTAAAAGGCCCGTTAATTTCAGGAAAATCATTCCTACTCTCAAACAGGTTAACCTTAACAAGGAATTCTGCAGAATCCTGAATTCATAGTAGGTAACGGTACAGCCAGGATTGAACTAAATTGTGATGTTCATTATAGAATTAAAAAAAAACAGAGCAAAGCATGAAAAAGGTTAAAACCTGCTATACGTGATTTTCATATTTTACTTAACAGAGGAATTTTCAGTAAAAGGCAGGGATTTAACATGTTTCTTGAAAGTTTTTTTGTGTTTTTTTTTTGGTTTATATATTGCAATTCTAGTAAATAAAGAAATTAACACAGAATAATCACTGCAACAAGCTTTTCCACAGTTATTTTTTCCCAATGGCAGCGAGTTAGTGCAAGCCTCTCAAGGACAGCTACCCTCCAAGCCTTTCAGATAAAGCGTGTATTCACTGCCATGACTTCTGTGCGTTACCTGGCAGAATGATACAGCTACCCTCCAAGCCTTTCAGATAAAGCGTGTATTCACTGCCATGACCTCTGTGTGTTACCTGGCAGAATGATACAGCTACCCTCCAAGCCTTTCAGATAAAGCGTGTATTCACTGCCATGACCTCTGTGCGTTACCTGGCAGAATGATACAGCTACCCTCCAAGCCTTTCAGATAAAGCGTGTATTCACTGCCATGACCTCTGTGCGTTACCTGGCAGAATGATACAGCTACCCTCCAAGCCTTTCAGATAAAGCGTGTATTCACTGCCATGACCTCTGTGTGTTACCTGGCAGAATGATACAGCTACCCTCCAAGCCTTTCAGATAAAGCGAGTATTCACTGCCATGACCTCTGTGTGTTACCTGGCAGAATGATACAGCTACCCTCCAAGCCTTTCAGATAAAGCGAGTATTCACTGCCATGACCTCTGTGCGTTACGTGGCAGAATGATACAGCTACCCTCCAAGCCTTTCAGATAAAGCATGTATTCACTGCCATGACCTCTGTGCGTTACCTGTTACATGTTTTTCCATTTTGTAAAAAGTGCAGATTTCAATACAAATTGGCACTTTTCTAAATTAACCTGGTCAAACCTTCCTGGCTGTCAAGCAGACAACCGATCCTGTTACTTCCTGGTTTGGTTCTCTCAGTGGAGCTAAACTCAAGAAGCAACAATTACTATGAGCACCTGCCTTGCAAAGACTTCTCATTGAGCTACATTGGAAAGTCTGTGATTGGAAAGCCACAGAAAGTCTGGGCAGGGTTAGAAGGGGAGGGCTTGCAAAGGAAGCAGACAAGAGATCTGCAGGTTTTGCATGCGGTTTTTAAATATAAACCCAATCAAAAAAAAATGCATAAATAAATGCATGCAAGTGTTCATTGAAGTGAAGAGCCATCACCAGTTTCATGAATAAATCACTGAGCTGATCGCTACCCTGTCTGAAGTTGCGGGATGCTTTTGGATTATAAACCAATATATATGCAAAGGGTTAAACAGAAAACAAGTATACTTGCACATCTAATATAAACTCAGGGCTGCACGGTACACTCAAGGTGCAGAGCCGCAAATACATCAACTACCCTTTAATTTACAATAACAGATATCTTACAAACAAAGGATCATCTTTATAGGCCCAAATCTCTACAGAGCAAAATTATATGGTCAGTGGGTTAAGTATACATTTACAGACAATTTTACAAGAAGACTTTGATTTAAAAAAAAAATGTATGTGAAAGGTCAAGCAGAATAATGTGAAGAAGATAAAAAATGGTCTGTGCCTACAATACAAAGTGGAAAAATTTCACATTTTAATAAAAATATTTATTCCTAAATTTGGAACTAAGAGCAGATACAATCCCTGCAGCATGAGCTCACTCCACAAACATTTTACTTGCTAAAAATACCTTTAAAAAAAAGTATTAAAAAAATATCCTGCAGTGTAATTGCAAATGCAAGCACAAGACATGCTCATCGAGAGACAAGCGGATCCCACTGTATAAATAGAAAAGGCTAGGAGCTGCCAAGAAGGCGTGAAGCCAATCCCATTCTAACCCATTCACTGCTGACAGAGTACTGACTCACAGCACATGGGTTAAAGGAGCCCCGGAACAAGCATTTGCCTATTTTTGGGCTCACACCCATTCAAAAAATAAACAGGACGTTCTACACATTGTTGACACAACTATTAGAGCTACTGTGACAAGATCCATTTACCCTACACTCACATCCACTGATTGCAAGCCATTTGTTTCTGTTTATAGTGTCACTGCGTAGAATATACAGGCTTAGGTTAACCAATTAAGTGCCACAAAGTGCATGTCTTCTACTCAGTGTTAAAGTCAAGCCACATTGCATTTGTCTGGGGCTGACATGAAAATACCCAATTACACTGTCATACACCCTGCTGATTCAGATTCAGTTTAGCATTCCCCCCCCCAATGGTTACTCTGGTTTAAAGAGTTAACAGGCGGTTTATGCGCCTCAGAAAGGAAACCTCCAGCTATTTGTTTACTAAACCTCCCGTGACTGTTTACATCAATTCTTCACGTCACTGAGCAAATTGTGCAGACCAGTTATTATTCCACAATGAAACAGCACATGCTTGGATAAAAAAAAAAAAAAAAAACATTTATATACATAACAGCTTTAATAATTTATACGTAAGTGCATAATATATTGTGTTTCACAGTTACATAAACTATGGTAGAATAAGGACATTATCACCCATATATACCAGTTTATAGCACTGCGTGCAAGTCATGTAAGCGTCATTACTATATGTAATTATCAGGCTGACTCTGTACATACCTGGAGATAAAATGATTAAAAAGGTCTGGTAATAAAGTGATATTAAGGATTACAGCATAAAAAGACTGATTACTTTTAGAAATTGTTCATACAAAACGTTTCCTATTTACCACTTTGATGGCAAGGAGAGAAGGTTTTACTAAATAGCGATGTTTTGGATATATTATTTTTGAAATCCCAAGAGTATAAAATTCCCAACTCAAAACAATGCCACAAACAGATGGTACAAAAGGCCACATTAGGAATTATTACGTGCCAAAATAGATGAAATGCCGAGGCTTCCTTCATTTTCATTCCTTACCACCACATGCGACAAAGGCAAATTAACTTAACGGAATAATTTTACTTTCAACTTCAGCCCCAGAAATATGGTCACTTTTTTTTGGTAATATTTTTGGTCTCTCCATGCCACTACATTCACATACGGTTCTACCAAAAAAGCAGAGTGCAAATCCACGGTCATTCAGATTAATTAATTTCACAACCGTTTATGCAAATCTACTTCCCAAGAGTGTCCATATGGGTACCAATGTGCCTGTTTAACATCCAGAATAAGAAAACACAATGACAACGGGTACGGTAATCATTTTCGTGGTCTGTCTTATATCGGGTATGAATTTTGGGAAATGTAAGTTTATTTCAGCGCCATTTCTGATAACCACTGTGACAGTATATGAATGTATGGGCCAAATGTGTAAACATTCTGAAAAAGTACAACAAACAAGTTGCAATGGGACAGTGCCAAGTTTAACGACAGAGAAACACTTATGGAAATGGTTACCAAGGCTAATCTCATCTACTACGATAGCGAGTAATCCAATACAGGTTTATGCACAAGGAATAAAGCTATCACAGGTGGGTTAGCAAGCTATACAGCATCACACAGCAAGAATTAAAACATCCAATATATTTTCCACTTAATTAAAACAAGCAAAACTTTCATACCACATAGAGGCGACTATCATTCATAAGCAGTATCAAGTCCACACTGAAATAGCTTGCATAAAAAGGTTTATATATTAGATTATCTGAATCAGCAAAGGAGTAACAAAGGAAAAGAAGAATTAAATCATTTACATGGCTCGAGAAAAAGATACAATAAAAACCAGACAGTATGTAAAACCAAAAAAATGTAGCAGGTTTTAAACCAATCAAATGGATCTTTAAAGGAACACTATATGGTCAAATACAAATGTGTAACTGCTGAGTCTATAAAAAACACTATTTAAGTGGCCCCCTTACCCCCCCCTTAAAAAAGCCGTAAAACTCACCTTTATTCCATCGCAGCGCTGAATCCAGTGCATCTCTAGGAGAAGCATTAGTTACCGTTAATGTCATTAAAAAAATTAAAAAGGGGGTTGCTCCTAACAAGATGAAAAAAAAGAAAAGTTAATTTAAAAAAAAAAAAAAAAATGGGGGGTGAATCTGATAGTTACTGTTCAAGCCTATGAACCAAATGGCATCAGTTCAAAATGGGACCATAAACGTAATTTTAGAGGATTTTTAAACTTAAAAGTATGTACCGTACTGGTTTTGCGGGATACACTGCGACACAATGTCCGAGGATACATTGTAAGGACTGCGCGACACAATGTCCGAGGATACACTGTAAGGACTGCGCGACACAATGTCCGAGGATACACTGTAAGGACTGCGCGACACAATGTCCGAGGATACACTGTAAGGACTGCGCGACACAATGTCCGAGGATACACTGTAACTATTGGACAGGGGCTATTTTCAGCTGGGGTAATTCTAGATTTGTGAACATGCATATTTTATAAACAAACATTCTTGTAATTATGATATTCTGGATATTTTTATTTAAAATATCTTTGCTATTTTTGGTTTTACATGCCTTTTAATTTTTGTTAAGTTCAAAAATATGCCTAATATCCTTTTTTCCAGTCTTGCCAAGGACTTGGTTTCACGTTGTGACGAAATGCCCTTCGCCACTTGTGCTTGGAGGGGACTACTGGCTAGCCTCCTGCCTTCCGACTATGGCCCCTGTGCTGATAGCTGTATTTTACCCTGCAATAAGGTTTATTTGGGTATTCCTGCCGGGTTGTTCGGGACTTTCAGTATGTGAGTAGTGCTACCCCAGATAGCTATGCCGTGAAGCCAATTCGTGTAACGAAAGACTATGCAAAAGACTTTGGCTCCATGGCGACTGAATTGTATGTATGTGATCTGAGCGCCATTCAATAATAATGTGCAATCAGATCTAAGCTATCTGGGGATATGCATGTATATGTTTTATGTAGTAATTGTAACATTGTGTAATTTTATGTCTTTTTGTAACCATGTGGTTAATGGAGTCTTGCCTCTGTCCTGGGAGATAATTTGATTACTTCCCAATTATCTCCAAGATAGAGAGGAGGGATTGTGATGCCACTGTGGAAGTGTTTTGTTTGTATTGTCTGTGATTGGTTGTACTGTGTCCCACCCTGTGGGATGTCCCCTTCCATGGGGACTTGCATAAAAGCCAGTGTGTGGTCATTAAAAATCAGATCATCTTGTACCTTTCTTGAAGCCTTGGCTCATGTTTGGGGGATTGGAGAACTACACTCTGGGGATTGCTATAATCACTATACTCCCCAGGGTATGATCACTAAGCTCTGCTAAGAGCTTGTTCCTGTTCCTACTCTCTGGGGAAAGAGAGGTTCACCCACTGGAAGCTGGATCCTGGCTTTGGGTCCAGGTTGGGTGGAGACAGCGAGACCCCGGCGCAGCTGCATCGCTGGAAGTGGGGTCTGCAGTGCTGAAGGTGTCGGTTGGAGTGCTTGGAGTCCTCAGCGAGCACTAGGCGCATCGATTGGCATAGGTACTCAGTCGGAGTGCCAGCGTTCCGTCACACACGTTATAGGGCACAACATATTTGATAATCTAGGACTATGAATCCCAGTCTGTTATTGCACAAGGAGCGCTGCAATGAGAATATTTTCCAAGGTACACCCGTTTTTCTCATTATCAATGGTCTAAAACATATTTCCTTGGAGTTGTACCCGAGAAGTATGCATATATCATGTACTAGTTCTAATTATTATCCAAATGGGAATCGTAGATTTAATGCTGACACTTAAAGGATGACTTAAACACTGCATTCAGTCTATTATACATTGAGGTGGCTTGATCTAGGAAACATTTGACAAAAGGCGTAACTACCACTATCAAGTTTTGTCACTTCCTCGCCCATCGTTAGCAATAGCTGTAGGAACAAGGCATTGCCTTGCTCATTGCAAAATAAAATCTCTGGAGGTTCCTGCAGTTGAGTGGTATCCTCCATAGACATCTTGTATGCATAAGAGTACAGCACTGATGCGGGTTCCTGGTGAATGACGTGTCAAGAGCTGGAGAAAGGAGATGATGGAAGCTGCAGGGGACATGCCTTATATCGTATTCCTGTAGATGTTTTACAACAGTAAACTTAGTAGCCATGACTGCTCAGAACGTCACTTGTTTTTAAGGAGTTGAGAATGAAAAATCCAAATAATTCACCACAACAACAGTCTCGATAAGGTGCCACCACTATCTCTCTATACACACCTTCTGTAAAGCCAGTAAAATAAACAGAGTGAAAGTTTTGCAGCAAGCTATGCCGGCTCCTGCACAGACCTGGCCGTTTAACAAAATGCTTCCCATTTGGCAGGCAGGCTGCCAGGTAATGGATTTAACAGATAATCTGCATTTTATTAGCAGCGTTCCTCGGCAGTACAGTGAGAGTTAAGGAGAATTCTCCCTTTGCCAAGAAATTGCTTTGTTTGACAGAGAATATCTGGAGACTCACACTTAAAATACAACTAGCAAACTGGATAAAATATCATTTGTATAGGCTGTATCACTGCACATAAAAAGAATGCAGGCTTAGGTATTGGTGAATTTTATTAATCCAATCTGGAGGAATATTCTATAGAGGGCAATAAGGCAGGCAATGGAAAGACATTCGATGAAGCAGAGTTGCACACAAGGGAGGCTGGGCTGATTGCATAAGAAAACATTTACACAGAAATCTTTTTTTAAAGAAGTCAAGTCATTAAATGGAGGAGTCTAGAGGGGCCCAATAAAAGAGGACAAATCTTTCGGACACACTTTACCTGGTCACTTAGCTTGCCATTTGCTCCAATAATAATCTGTTTTTAGTGATCATGCCCTTTTAATGGGATAGATACAGATATCTCCCTGAAACGTCACATGACATGATGCAAATTTTGGATGTGAACGAGAATGGTATGTTCGTATTCCTAACACTAAAGCGTTCATTTAAATGCATTATACACAGAATCCATTAAACAAAGTATTACAATACATACAAGACATTTATGAAAGATGGTAGCTAAATCACTGTATATGTATGGGCCTCCCTAACCACAAAAAAAAATCCAATCACTAGAATTTCCATTCCCGCTATGGCATCTATGCTTATCCCATAAACTTCAGTACAGCAGAGCTCTATGGTATAAGGAATCCTCAAAGAGAAACTTGATGAGTGAAAGAGCTCTTAAAGGGGCAAAACATATTCCTTACCCTATAGTGTTAAAATGTCCATTTAGGTGGCGTGTCCCGTTAAAGATAGAACGCACCTTCTTTAAAAACTGCAATAATTATCATTGCCGGGTTAAAGGACCTGGAAATACGCACCCAGTCGACTTCAATGAGTCGAAGTGGTCTGAGTGCCTATAGTGTCCCTGTAAGTGTTGGTTGCTGCCCGTTTAAATGCAATGGTGGATTGAATCAAGAAATATGATCAATCATTTCTAAACCAGCACCATTTATTCTAGCATGACAGCGTACTTTAATTCTTTATTTGCCACGGTTTGCTTTCCAGCTTGGATGATTTGTCTGGAAGTGGCAATAGTCCAGCTAGGAAGATTTCAGAGTAGGTAAGATAAGGAAAAATCATTAAGAAATCTTTGTGCTGATCATGGAGTCCACAACTCTAAACTTTGTTTATGTGCAGCCCTCGGTTTGGTTTGCTCTATCTAGGGAGGAGAGAAAGCTCAGCCCAGGTTGTGTGCACGAACTGCAGACATGCAAAACCTGACACTGGGCAGTCAGAACAATGCATTCCAGGTGCCCGACTGACAACTTTGAGAGGCATTCTTATTGGGGAGATTTTTACGAGTGGTTGCAGTTCTAAGCCACTCACATCTGAAAGCGGGTGCACGATGCTCTGTCTACCATACTTTTTGCAATTAAAACAAATTATGTGGATGCTTAGAGTGACCCTTTAAGAAATACCAGACAAGGCTTCAGAGTACTTAATGAAACACTCCAGACCATTAATGCACTGTAGTTTGCTGACGTGCTTTATGTGTGTAGAGTGGTTTTTTTTTTAGGTTTAAAAAAAATCAGAGGTTTTATCAAATTAACCTTGTTACACCCCCTGGCTGTCAATCAAACAACAGGTCCTTTTACTTCCTGGTTTGTTTAGCTCAGTGTAGATAAACTCAAGAGGCAGCAATTGCCCAGAGCACCTGCCTTGCAAAGACTTCTCATTGAGCTACATTGGGAAGTCTGTGATTGGACAGCCACAGAAAGTCTGGGCGGGGAAAGGCAGCAGACAAAGCCAATAGATTTGCAAGCTTTTTTTTTTTTTTTTTTTAAATACACCCCCAATGGAAAAAATACCTGTTTTTATGGGGTAGTGGAAGGTCCCTTTAACAACAGAACAAAGCCACAAAGAGGCCTACTCCCAAAACCACAAGTTACCCAAACATTTACCACGATGGCAGGGTAAGGAACTACGCAAAATGGAAACCTGTCTGTAAACGGCACCAAATTATTTGTGACTCATTATTGGCAGTCATTTGGAAAGTCCAAATTACTTTTAATAAATGTATTGATGACCTAAGAATTAATCCCACCGCAAGAAAAAAAAAAAAAAAAAAAACACACTCGGTAGCAGGATAATTATTCTTGGTTTTGAAAAGTTTACAGGTAACAGAAGACAAGCATCAAAATAGGAATAATCTGAATTCCCCCAAATCCTAATTAATTATGGGTTACCTAAATGTTAGTTTCTAAAAAAAAATCACAATAATAAGCAGTTCTCCATTTATTCCAAAAAAATAAAAAAATAAATCACAGCAGCAAACAAGATCTTTAAAAGAAATATGAACATATTTCCATTAAAGCGATCCTATAGTGCCAGGAAAACAATGCCAATTTCCTGGCACTATACAGTTAATAGGCCCCCCCTACAGTGTTCTTTAACAATGAGTGAGGACACAGGGGAGATCTCAGTGGTGCGGACTAGGATAGCCCTCCTTTCCCCCCTAAAAAAAAAACAACAAAAAAAACCATACATACATAAATGAGACCATAACAAAAGTCAAGTGTGAAGAAAATAATTATCAAAAGTAGAAAAAGGAATTAACATAACTGCTTCAAAACAGGGAACTGTATGCAGAATAATTAAAATGTCTATTGTGTCTCTCATTGTTACATGATGACAGTAATTTGCAAGTGATTACAGATGTCACGCTAGCACAGAGGTAAGATAGGAAAGTAAACCGATTGCTGCAGCTCACGTAAAGTCAGCTGCTTTACACAGCCCAGTGACAGCTCAGCCCCAGCCACAAACCATACCTCAAAATGTTGGGGTGAGACAGGCGGTTCATGAGTTGCACTTCTTTCAGCATGTTCGCTCTGTTACTGCTCAGCTTGTTCATCTTCAGAGCCATGACTTGGCCAGATGTCCGATGCCGTACCTTCAGAAAATAAAATAAAAAACGTTTAATATCTGAATACACTAACAGCCTGACTGCCTTTTACTGGAACACAGTATATAGACCACCGAAGTATTTAACTAGGAAATGTACATTTTGACTGTCACTAGTTTTCAAGTATGTCCTTAGGCCAGGATGTAATGACTCCAATTAAAGGTAATCATTGTATTAACCTTGGAAGCACGAAAGCCTGAGTTGGTAAAGCAGAAAATGAAACCTGTGCCCTAGCTACCCCAGCAGGAGAAATATTCACAGCACTATCATCCGAGAAATGTATAAATAAATAAGATGAGACTTGACCAACAGACAGGCCCCCAGCTGGGTCTAACTTCTCTGTCCATCCCTGAATTAGACCTTTAAAATACAAGTTACATACAAACACAAAACTGATTTGTAACGTGTGTTCAACGAACCTTTTAAAATTGGGCTAGATGTCAGCTCAGACCTTCTGTGGCTGTCCAATCACAGACTTTACAATGGACCTCAATGAGAAGTATTTGCAAGGCAGGTGCTCTGAGCAATTACTGCCTCTTGTGTTTAGCTTCACTGAGCTAACCAATCCAGAAAGTAACAAGACTTGTTATCTGCTTGTGAGGCAAGGGGGTGTAACCAGGTTCATTTATAAAAGTGTCAATTTCTACTGAAATCTGCCATTTTTGTAAAATGAAAAAAAAAAGAGACTCTTTGCACAAAAAGCACTTCAGCAAGCTAAAGTGATTTAAGGGTCTAGAGTGCTTCGTTAATGTCAAAACGTATAAACTAGAAAAAAAAAAAATCTCTAAGTTAGCTATGCTCCCAGTTTGGTTACTTTAGGCTTAAATTTGAACTTTACTTTGAATTGTCACGTTGGTGAATAACATTGTTCATGTTCAAGATCTAGTAAGAAATGATGTAGAGCTAGGAATTAACTGCAATTCTCTTTAAAGGAACACACCGGGCATCTTAACTTCATCAAAACCTTTAGGGGTTTCTCAAGAATGACCTGGTAAGGAAATGCATGTTTCTCAAGCCACTTTGTGAATAGGAAGCTACTGATTAGCTTAGAGCAGCCCTGTCCGCGGTAGTCCATGGCTTCCTGGTTTTAGAATCTCAGAAGCAGAAGGAGAGGGGCAGAGCTCAACAGCAGTGATTCAAGACTTTGGAGTTAAACAGTTTTCTGTTTTTTAACAGGGACCACCTTTTACCATAATTTCAGTCGGATGAAGTTGTTATAGTGGCAGAGGTTAACTTTAAAACACATTTTACATCGATTAAACAGTTAAACACCTATACAGAGAGCAACCAACCTAAAACAAAGTTCATTTTCACACCAGCCTTGCAACATAAGCCACCCCCTTGTAGCCTATCCCCTTATCCAAATAACCTATGAACCTCAGAAATGCTGTGATTAACAAGTGACAGAGATGTCACTTGCTGGAGAACTTTATAGAGTATTCTGCAGAGGAGTAAGGAGTTAAACAGATTATGCAACATTTAGAAGCTTCAATCCAAGGACCTGTGCTGACGCAACAGTTGCTGATCAATGCCTTTTTATGGATTTACACAGCCCAAAAAATAAAAAGATATGTTCAAACACTTCTGCCAAGGATGGCAAGATCATTCAGAGAGACTGAAAGCTAGAAAGACACACAAAAAAACACTTTTTCATAAATCAAAAAGGCAACGTCACTTAGAACCAAGAGCGCTCCAGAGAGCATTGTGCAAAGAAAAAAAACACAAAAACAAAAAACACTTTGATACAAACCGGACAATACTGTATTGACTTTTCAGTTCAAATGAACCAAAGACAATACATGTTACAGAGTGATAAATTTAACGAGACAAGATGGAATAATTCGAACGATTGAAGAGAACGGTCGCCTGCTCTCTGAGCTCCGGGCCGCGACACGGGGAAGAACCCACTTCTAACCCCCTTACAAGTGCCACACTCACCCCAGGGTGAGCCCAGCGCACAGCCGAGCCCAATGGGGCGAAAAACCAAAAAACTCAAACCCGAAAGACCCACGAGGGGCATGGATATCAGCGAGTTATGGCGGCAAGCCCGAGGCGCCACAGGCTCCAATATGGCGTCCCTACACGGCGGGTGCTCTGATTTCTATGAAGAGACGTCGGATGAGGGTGAAGGGGAGCTTCAGCCATCACCAGCTCGAATGCAACCCCCAACGCAACCCCTGCCGTATGGCCCCCACGCCGGTGAGCATGGAAGCCATTAGAGATCTTATGGCGGAACATCACAAAAAGATTGCGGCGGATGTCGCCTTGATTAGAGACACATTACAGGGTCTTACCGGACGGATCGGGACCGTGGAAAACACCATGACCACCCAAACCGGCCACATACAAACGCTGCAACAGGAGGTTCAGGAGTTGAAACAGCTAGCTGGGCAGAACGACCTCCGATTTGCCGCACTTGAAGACAAACGCCGCCTAAAGCACCTTAAGGTTAGGGGCATCACCGACAATATTCCGGATGCTGAACTACCCCACGTTACTAGGCGGCTCCTTACGGCTCTACTAACCCAGAGAGTTGCCAAAGCGGTGTCAATAAACGGAATATTTCGCATTCCAAAGCCCACCGGGGCCCCAGCTACAGCTACGAGAGATGTCGTCCTGCAGTTCCAAACCTACAAGGATAGAGCCGCAGTATTAGCAGCCACCAGAGATCAACCAGCCTACCACTTTGAAGATATGGCTCTCACCTTCTACCCTGAAATCTCGGGGGCAACATTGGCCTGGAGGAGGTCCCTGCAACAACTGACTTCCCTCCTGCGAGCACAACACATCAGGTACCGCTGGGGCCCGGCTCATACTCTACTGGTCACCAAGGGCGACACCACACTCACAGTGCGCAGCATGCAGGAGGCACCGGCGACACTAAGACAGCTGAATCTCCCACCGGACTTACCGGCCCTACCGACACCAAAGGGTAGGCATGCGAACCCACCGACTTGGAACATGGCCGGCGCTGCAGAATTCATCCCTAGAAGACACACCGGTGTACCTAAAGAAGCAGCCACCACCTGACAATATTGAAATATCAGGACTATAACTTACCTTGCCGGGACTCTACCCTAACATAATGATCTCACCTTGGACTGCTGCTCCCGGGTGAGCTAACACCCTGCTTTGCGGATGGCCGCACTCCTTAACCCACCGACACATGCACATCACCCGATAACACTAAGACCCACTATGGGTGGTCTCACTGGGAAGATGCCGAGCTCCCCTTTGCATTCCTGACGCCACACAGGCACCCCAACCTAACCTACCCGCCCAGTAACCAGGAGCTGACATTTAGCCTCTACCTGGCTCCCCTCTTGCGAGCGCTGACCTCCGCGCACATGACCATGAAGGCCCCTCTTAACTTGCCAACTAGCAGGCATTACGCGCACCCCCAAGCAATGTAATCACACGGTAGATATGCCTCAACACATAGAAATAATCTATAACAGTCCCGCCCAGAAGAACACACCACCCTACCTGCACTAATACAACCCAGCCTCCGATAACCCACCATAAACACACAGTGCATACATCTCTCACCACTACGGCTGTGTTATGTATAAAAGACAATATGCATTAATCCTAGAATGTTGTATAATTATTTTTACCTGTTCCAATGTTAGACTACACAATGTAACCTTATTAACCTCTAAGCAAACTTAATCATAACTGCATATCGTTCCAACATGTATCTAACCGCAAAAACTAAAAATTGTGCACAGTATTTCCTATGCCATGATACCAGCTGTTGTATACCGGTCTCTTACCGCTGTTGTGAAGTAACAGACCTAACTGTCATTCTATGCACGAACAAAAATAAAGAATTAAAAAAAAAAAAAAAAATTAAAATTTTTTTTTAACGAGACAAAAAAAATAATTAATAACGAAGTAAAATAGTAATTTTTAAAACTGTTCAACGAAAAACATTTTCCACATGTCAGCCTTGAAAAACCAGTAAGGAGAATTCCAAATGTTCTCTTCTCCGTAGCTGCTGAATATTAGAGACAGACGTGCTCCTCTTATAGAGAGAGGTTTGACGCAAACACTAGCAATCACTAAATAAAGACCATCAAATCACACACCTTTAACTTTCATTTTTTTACAATATAGAATGGCATCTGTGAAAAGTATATATTCAGGATCTCCACGCCAGGACTGCGGAATGTTCTCGGATGTACAGATATCAAGCATTTAATTACATGTATAAAAGACATTAAACATCCAAGAATTCGTTGTTAAATGTTGTTCTACGCAATGCATGGAATTTTTTTTTTTTTTTTCTTTTACCCCAAAATCAAAAGTCACTTAAGAACCAGAGACAGGCTTAACATAAAATATTACAACACAGTCCTATGGAACTTGTCTCCGACAAAGCATCCATTCAATAACTGAGAAAGACATTTTACATAAACTGCACATCTCATTTTTTGGAAGGGTGCCTGGAGTTAAAAAAATAAGATAAAAAATGTAATAAAATATATAGGGAGCACCAATATATTAACACTGTAAATATATCAGTATAAAAGCATTGTAACACTATTGCTTCTGCCGCAGACTGAATTTCGTTAACAGTTTAACCCCTACTGGTTCTGATTTTCTTAGTTTATACTTTATGGTGAGTATTTCCTAACCAATATTACTAAATTATATTGGCTGAAAAAGTGTCCATTAAAGGACCACTATAGCAGGACTCGACAGGTCTCAGGCGCCAGGTCGCCATGGCGAATAAAAGTTTTGCCCTGCTGCCTGGGTTTTGTCAGCTTTTTATCTAAAACGCCCGGCAAATAATGGAGCCGGCCGTCCACCTGCAGGAGCATGTAGGCTGCCGGCTCAGTGAGCATTGTAACCGGCCGCCCTGGGCTTCATGGAGGCGGACGGCTATAGTGTTCCTTAAAAAAAAAAAAAAAAATACTAACTTTTTTAGCTGGCTCCTAGATTCCAAACAAATTTGTTAAGCCCTGCACTATAGGCACCCAGACCACTTCAGCTCAATGAAGTGGTCTGGGTGCCAGGTCCCCTAGTTTTAACCCTGCAGCTGTAAACATAGCAATCAGATAAACTGCTCTGTTTACATTGCAGGGTTACTCCAGCCTCTAGTGGCTGTCTCCCTGACAGCCACTAGAGACGCTTCCGCGATTCTCAGTGTGAAAATCACATTGAACTCACGCAGCGCGAGTTCAGAACCCCATAGGAAAGCATTGAGAATGCTTTCATATGGGTGGTTTGAATGCGCACGCGGCTCCACTCGGGAGCTGACATCGGCAGGGGGAGGAGAGGTCCCCATCGCTGAGGGAGCCTGGCGGTGGATTAAGGTAAGTGGCTGAAGGGGGGGCACAAAAATATACATGATTAATGTATGCTATTACTAGATTTCCTTGCTGTTAGATCACTGGGAAATCAAGCTTTGCTATATAGGATCCTGCCCATAGACAAAATCAAGCCATACCTCCGAATTCTCCACATCCTCTACACCCCCCACCCACTCCGCAGAGCTAAATAAACCCAACAGCAGGAGCTTAAGCACCTTAAATAACTCAGCGAGTACACAGAGATTGGATGTGACTGGCAGGTGATATTATCAGAGGCCGAGACCTGGCACAGAGGGAAGATCACTTTATAGTATATATAGCTCCACGAATGTACTGATAAACATGCATCATACATACACCGTAAAAAGTGAGCACCATTTCTCTCAGTACAGCTTAACCCCGTTGTGACAAAGGACGTGCCATAATTAGTGAGGATTTGTCTAACCTTTTGTCATGAGTAGGTTAAATCCCCCTGGTTAGAAAACAGATTATGCAATAATTGCTAATACCAGGCACTAACAACATAATATGTTCATTTGCGTAACAAATCTGTCCTTATAAGAGCACTATTCCTCTTTGTCCTTTACTGTAATTCTAATTACAGTGCCCATCACTATTAAGGAATCATTAAGATTATATAAAGACCTCGCTGCAGCTCCCACCATCTCATAAATCGCACTACCCGAGCAGAACAGTTACAGTTCCTACGACCCACAAGCTCATTCCAGTTTCCCAAACCTACTTTTACTCCACTAGTAACCAGGAAGTAGGCCAAACTATCGTCTAAGAGCTCTGCAGCTGTAACCTCCTTGAAATCGGTAATCACTGCTGCAGCTATTTTGTTTATAAAGTATATAAAGTTCAAGACGTCACAATGTCATTGTGGTGTAAACACTCTAAACCTACATTTAAAAAAATGGAAATCGCTCTGTAGATTTCCTGGTAAAAACAATGTATCATTTAACAAGCATTTAAAAATTAGAGCTGTTGAAAACAAAAGGACTTCTCTTCCCTCCACGCCCCATCTTAAAAACCCATAAATGACTAAATAAAACTGCGGCAGATAAGCCAAGCAGAGACAACATATAGTCACACTGAAAGCGAAGGGAATCTGAACACTTGGTGCCACTATACTAAACATTTTTGGCAGGGCAGACAAAACTCAATTAAATCTGCTGACAAGTAGTGCCTGCGGGGGACAATGTGACAGTGGATTGAACAGAACCTTTATTAAATCAGTCATGTAAATACAGAAGACCTGTAGAATCATGTTTGTGGGCCAGAGGGAACTGCAGTACAACAATCTCATACAGTATGGGCACAAAGTTCCAAGGAAAGTCTGACATAGGATCTTTTAGACAAATAAATTGATAGACGGCAAGGTGCACGGCATGCTGGTACTTTTCATTTGCATACTGTGTTTGGCAAGATGTTGGCTAACATACCCATCACATAGGATTTATCACTGAAGAATCTAGTTTAGGACTCTCAGCTGAGTGTAGTTTTATAAAAACTATGGGTATGCCAACTAGTGCAACGGATGCATAGCATTCTGGGATTGAGACCAGAGAATGTGGGATGGTACAATAGATTTTGTGCCGATTTCTTTATCTCTTAATATTTCACGAATCAGGAAGTTCATGCTCCAATACCAGTTTTTCTGTTTCAGTTCTGGTCATGTTAACTCCTACGTGATTAAAGCAGGCTCTTAAAATGGAGGTTCAATAGACATCTTGCCAAGCTTAAACGCATTTAAGCATTTTGCACGTGTATTTTATGAACCCATTATGGGCACATTGGTAACTTCGTGGTTTGTCATACATATTTTTTTTTATTTTTTTTTTACAGTCACATACTGCTTGCTGCTGTGAACAGAGTAAAAAAAATATATATATAAAAAAATCCTGATATACAAGATAAACAAAATGTTTCTACTATACTTCTATTACAGTATTATGGGAACACAGTAAAGGAGTTTAAGCATGCGTGGGAGAGGCATAAGGCTATCCTAACTATAAGATAAGGCTAGGGACTAATGAAAATATTTAGAAAATTGGGCAGACTAGATGGGCCGAATGGTTCTTATCTGCCGTCACATTCTATGTTTCTAAATACTATTCTGACAAAGATAGTTAAATGATCACACTATCCAGAATGATCCTCAAACAATATCTGAAAAGAAGGGAATTGGGGTGGATAGAAAGAACTGCTGGGACACAAGAATGGGGCGTGCGTACACTTTACTATAACCTTACACAGGCTGACAACAGGGCTTAATATTTGAAGGCATTTGCTACTAGTCCGATCTGAAATGCTATTAGCCACTGCAAGCCATAGCATGCTCACCGGGAATATATATTCACTTGCCACATGCTAGTGGGGAAACAACAAAAAACAACAACTTTAAACCCAAAACAGAGAATGATACATGTAAATTATTAGAGATTATTGTAGTCACCAGCTATAAGGAACACGGGTGGCAAATTCTTTCATTCTGTCTGTGAAGTCAGGAAACGTATGCATCATGAGGGCTGGGAAAGCAATCTTTAAACAGGTAGAAGGACAGCTGTGTGCAAATTCTTTCAATGTTACAAAAATATCCAGTGCAATACTAGAATAATGGCAAAAATAGCAAAACAAAAACATAGGGGTAGAAGGCAAGGAGTAATATTTTAATACAAGTAGCACGTTAACAAAACCCGAGGTGTCAACTTTGTATGGGACCATGCAGAACTGCAGAAAGCAAACTGAGAATTATATTTCTGGGTCTGGTGTCTGAGGACCTTCTATATGGATCGACTACCACGACTACCCATGGCCAAGATAATAACAGAGAATTCTTCGTGGACAGGGTGACCCCACGCGGTTTATTCTTTATGCATTTAGTGTGAATGTGTCTTCATGAAGCATTTGGTACTGTGAAATTAATCCAGGACCATCTACGGCAGCCATCATCTTCGGAGGCAGAGGAAAGCCAAAGGTAAATTTAAATCAACAACACTTCTGGACAACCTGATCATTTGCACATTGTGTCAATGACTGGTCTGCACTAATAGCAAGAATCCCCACTGTAATCAACAAATAAAAAAACAGCCTATTAATAGCCATCTAAGATTAATGCTTAAACTCTGTCGAAACTCATACTCATCAAATCAATGGGCAAAAAAATAAAAAAATAAAAATACATTATAATGAAATATTCTGTGTTTATTTACATCGGAATTATGGGTTCTGCAATCTTGCATAAGCCATGACCTTCCTGGAAATCATGGAAAGGGGTGATACTGAGCAATATTCAATCTGTCCAAACCAGGAAGAGGTGGACGGATTCTGTGGAAAAAGGAATAAACTAGCCCTTCGTAATTACAGCCTCTTATATGTTCTATATGCTCTAACCAGATAAGTGGAGACAGTCCTTAAACCACATTTAATAATAAATTACCGCTGCGCTTTTAAAAAGAAGATCAAAGTTGCGACATGCAGCTTGCAAAACCACATCCGCTAAAATTTCTCAACATTTGGTTACAAAGTAAAAGAAAAAAAAAAAAAGCTATTAATATTTAAGCTATCTTCCTTCCAAGATGTCTGCAGATTCTAGAATATGTTCCAAGATATTCTTAAAACGTTAATTGCAACCTAACAGCAAGACCACACTTCCACCTGAACATGGCTATTCCCCACATAGCTCAAGTAAAAAGAGTTAAATGTGAAATGCTTGGTCGAGTCATAAAATATTTATTGCTGCAGAATTTGGAAGTAATGAAAAGCAAACATCTGAGGAAGAGGAGAGCAGCCAGACTGAACCGTGTGCGAGGGAATGAAAGGAAAATAAGCGCACCTGGGAGAACAGACACTGGAAAACACTGACAGTAACCGTGTCGCTGCAGATGTGTGAGAACTACAATTCCCATGTTGCCTAAACAGAGAACAATTTCCACAGACGGCAAAAATCCTGTAACATTCACATCAATTCAAGCAAACACACCAGTTTCATCTAATCCACACGAATTTAAATAATTTCAGAACTTGGAGTTTGGGTTGTTTTGCTATTTTTAATTTTATTTATTTTTTTAAAGTTAATTTTTAAAAGGTTACCGAATTACCATGAGCACTCCAGTGTAATTCTGCAGACTGACGACCAATCACAGCATTTTTTTAAATTTTTTTTAAAGAACTCCATCATTTTGGCTGGTGTAACACTATAACTGGCACCAAGCAGCATCTGGTAAATGCCACCTAAAATTGGACATGCCAGCTAGCTTTTTTTATTTTAACTTGAATTTCTCAAGTTAAGAAACATTTTGCACAATAACCACAAGAGATCAGTGTAGTTGTTATGGTGCAAATAAACTGTGGGTGTTGTCATACATTTTTTGTCAAACTTTTTGGGAACAATTTGACACTCTACATGTCTGCTTCATGATATCCAACCAGGATAGCAGTGAGAGACACAGACTTTGTCCCACAGCCTCAACACTCAGCTGTAGAGTTCGTGTTCACAGTATGTGCCTTTAATTAAGTGGGGATCTCAGGTTATACATCTTAACCTAATTTTCACATAAAATTGTGCTTACCCGTCCCCCCAGAAAACAGGCCAAATCAATGTTTAAATATGTACTTTAGTAAGTCACATGTTCCAACAATATGTATTTTTAGAGCTTAGCTTTATAAAGCTGCAATTTTATACGACAGAATCTGGCAGCCCAGTATATAATATTGGGGGGGTGTGGGTGGGGGCGGGGGGATATTTGAACCTTGGCTGGCACCCGGCAATGACATTTTGTACCCTTATAGCTTGAGTGCAAGGATAGATAGAGAGATATATCTATATCTATATATATCTATATCTATATATATCTATATCTATATCTATATCTATATCTATATCTATATATATCTATATCTATATCTATATATATATATATATATATATATATATATATATATCTCTTGCACTCACGCTACAGTAGTCCCTTGTTTGCCGCGTGCTAAGCCTGGGCTTAGTTATCCAAAAATCCAAGAAGGTGGCAGCACTCACGGAATAAAAGTTCTAATTTTTATTTGTTCATATTAAAAGTAATCAACGTTTCAGTCCTCTATGTGGGACTTTCTTCAGGATCCTATTGATCCTGAAGAAAGTCCCACATAGAGGACTGAAACGTTGATTACTTTTAATATGAACAAATAAAAATTAGAACTTTTATTCCGTGAGTGCTGCCACCTTCTTGGATAGAGATTATATATATATACACATACACACACACACACACATACATACACCTGCCCCCTGGGCACACATTGCAATGCCAACACAACCAGCAGCTGTCACAGCCCCTCCTCACTGGTGTTTCCCAGCATGCATGGGACAGGTGATAAACAGTGTGTCCTAGATGTGTAATTAGGAGTGTGCGCGTTCAGCCAAGTGACCCGTTCTAGTGAAACTACAATTTCTTGTAAAGCCTCAGGGAGAGGATTCTTTTAGACAAGGTGAAGACCAGACCTTAAGGGGATAATAAACGCAGCATTGATCTTAATATTTAACGCGTAACGGCACAATTCGTGCCTTAACAAAATGGTTTGATGCACTATACATACATTTTTATAAGAACAAAAACATTTTAAAGAAAAACTGGAACCCCCTCACCTCCCAAGCACAGACAGCCTGTTCTAGTACAGATAATACGAGCAGTCTAAATCCTTATTTCTACTGGTTGGCTGATGTCCAACTCCCTCTACAGACTATAGAAAGCACCAGGTAAATTTATTAAAATTAAATTGGGAGGGGGTAGTGCTTGGACATATTTTACCAAATATAAATCTTTTTTCTTTTTTTTAAGCTGCCTGTTACCTATGATGAATATAATTTACTTATTTTTAAACACACAAACAGCTGCCCCACTACATCTGACAGTACTACATCACAGAACATGTCTCCAGCAAGTTAAGAGAACATTCTGATTACGGATATACAATACCAACAACAACAAAATTTAAATGTCACACCAATTAGTAATGTTACCTTAAAAACTTCAGAGAAGAATCCAGAACCTATTTTTTCACAGGTGAAGTCATCGAGCCTAGTAAGTCTAGAAAAGGCACTGATGAGGGCATTGTATGAAGACTGATAGACCCGTCCAAGTTGCACAATCCCACTATCTCCTCCACCGCTGTCCTCAATGCGGTCCACGCGAGGGGGAAACCCAGCAATAGAGTTTCTTTTATTTCGATCCATAGTTCCCTGAAAGAGCGGACGTCGAAACTGGAAATGCTGCTCACATTTTAGGATAACCTTGTTGTTTCCCCCAGGTATTTTCTGAAAAGCTAAAATAGAAGACACATATTTTTAAAAAGGCATTTCTCTTTCCAACCATCTCCTAGAAATGATAACACAGGCACAAAACTACATAGTCAACAAAAGATGTCTCGATTCGGAGAATCCCTAGGTCACAAGGCAACAATAAAATGAGGAACTCACAAATTAGATGATGACATTTAACATGGAAAAAAAAAAGGCACATAATGCTCACATAGAAAATATTAAGTTGGTTTCATCGGACACCCCCCTTTAAATGGTTTTATATAAGATCATTACTCAGATAAACGTTATCTTAGGACTGTGTGTTTTTCCTTCATGAAAAGTTTCAAACTTCTCATAATCACGAGATTAAAAGCGGATATTCTGCCAGAACTTTACAAAAATGTCACGCACGCGTCTCCTGTGGCAATTAACTGCCATTGCTGCACAACGGGAAGTTAATCCTCCTGGTATGCCTCTACAACAGACAGGTAAAAACTGTGAAATAAATAAGCCCCTTGGACAGGTTTTAACATATAGAAATCCTTTACTAGAAACTGCCTGTTACTGATGATTTTTTATTTTTGAACCCTTTGCTCATGTTAAGTTATATTATATATCAGCTGCGACTAGCTTGTCATGCACCAATAGTGTAATACACCAACACACCTGCTAGCAAGTTCCTTTTCTTTATCTCAGCTGTGAAAAAAGAGAATATCACAGGCAATAGAAACAAACTATAAAATCCTGTCACAGCTTTCGGAGCGTCCATCGTTATTCTGTATTCTTGCTCATGAGAGGGGATACAGTCAAATAATGTAGTTAATCTCAAATAATTTTAGTTTAAGCGCCATACAGAGTACTCCAATATAGGGGTGGGGGTCTCAAGACGCATTTTTTTAATCCACCGTTTCCAGGCACATGCGATTTATCAATTCAGGATAGAGAACAGACAGATCCCCTCTCCTCCTCCACTCTTCTCTATAATAAAGTCGCAGGTTAGAGACTGAACGCCAAGTGTGACTCAATCACACATGCAAACCATCATGTTGTCCAGACAATAAGCAGGTATTCATACAGCGCCAAAGTACTGCTTCCAATCAAATTGCCTTACTTTCTGCGTCTCCGTACAGGAGATCTATGCTGCTCATCGACTCATCTACACCAGCATAGACACAAAAGGTACCAGTGGCAGACATGTTAATCCCATTGTACAGCACTACGGAATTTGTTGGCGCTATATAAATAAAATAACAGATGGAGATGGCATTTTATCAAGCAAAGATCTGCTGTGGCAATTAGTAGGGCTTTACCAGGAACCGTCCATTCATCTTTGTTGGGACCCAACCAACATCTGCAGTCTCATCATGAAAGGGAAACAATATCACCCACATTATAAAGCATTAACACACCTGTGCTTTTATAATGGTATGGTCTCTGTAAGACATGGGTTGCCCTATTTCTAATCCGAACATTCAGAAAAATGTCAGTTCCTAGGAATTCAAATGTTAAGGCCAATATATCCTGACTGGAAAAATTCTCCAAGTGAATTATGTTTCCAGTTTTGTTATTGGAGTTGAATATTTAAATCTGCTCCAGAATGGTGGCCCAGGGGTGCAGGAGAATTTAGGTTTCACTTACCTGAAGCAGTCTCTCATCCCCACCGCCATTTCCAGCCAGAGCACCATCTTCAGCTCCTGGAGCTTAATCTGCCAAGAGCCAACATCCGTGCTATACTATCGTCCATGCATAATAGTATAACACTGATGTCTATGGAGCGACCCTCCATAGGCAATCCTCACAGTTGGGGGAAATTACAAAACCTTTCACAGGCATTAGGAAAATGCATAAGACATTGTATGATGTCTTGATTGTGTTAGAGTTTCTGTTAAATTCCAACAGTTAATGTGGGTATTTGATAAAGATTCTATCTTGGAGAGAGAGGTCGCATAGGGCTCTGTGAATATTCGTTCTAAACTCTGGTAATTGTGCTACCCTGATAGCTCTCTTGTGCTGTGCCAATACCCGGAGAAGCTGAGGAGTTTCTAGGCTCCAGTGAAGCTTGGCTCCGATTGCAGTGTCCATGATCCGACCCCGTTTGCCTCACGTACTAGTGCTGGACGAGCCGGGAGAGATGACGACCTCTCTGTCAACCCTGCGGAATGATCGGTGGCTGAGCCTCATATCCTCCCACATTGGACTGGTGGGGGTCTTCCTTGTCCTTGCCATCTCAGTGACTATCTGCTTGGGTTACTTACCTCTGCTAACTCATGAACACAGCTCTGCATATCTCTTGCATGCACCAAGCTTCACCAATATGATGTGCATGCATAACCCTCATGCAAGCTCCACTATGCAGCATGGATACACTCTTCATGATAGTGGAGTGATCTCTACAACGGTTTGATGAAGTCCATGAGCACTTCTGGGAAGAGCTTGATAACCGAATGGCATCAAAAACAGCTGCCACAGAGGGGAGATTGGAGGAGTGACATCCAGGGAGAGGCTGGATCTCTTTCAAGCATAGCCTTATCTGTCAATATGAACACTACTACTGTTAGACCACCTGGCCAAAGGCCACCAATTATTATCCGTGATAATCCCCTCCTGACACCAGCACAAATCCCAATGGATTCATTGTATGTTGGCAAGTGCCATTTTTTATCTCAATTGTATGTTGTGGAGCTTATATAAAGCTTACTATTTCTTTATGCTTCTTATTTTAACCTTTTTTAGTGCAGAGGTATAGTGCTATCTTTTGTCCCAGAGGTATATTTTTGTGCACATTTCACATTAATTGGCAATCACCATGTCTTGGTCTTCATTTGATACGGACATTGTCATATTCTCAGACATGTTGCCCGGGCTGATTTTTCCATTTTATTATAAAACTGTGCTGCACCATAGACATGCCACACAACTCTGCATTACTTGACCTATATGTGTATTATGTGTGTAAGCCTTGCAATTTGTTTTCATGCTCTCTCATACTTGTTACCGTGTCAAAGTTAGATTTTTATTAACACTAAGCGGGACAAAAATAAAGACTGTATCTTTATGAAATAGTCCATTTTATGTGTATGTAGAAGGGGGTATCAGAGCCACATTAAGTTACATTTCAAAAAGCCCAAAATTGAAAAGCCCTAAAATTTTGAATTTCAAACTATTCACAAATTTGAGAATTACCCTGTGTAAAAATACATCACACTTTAGGGAATAGCCCCTCAAAACTATAACTCCCACTGGAAATAATACTGAAAAGCTTTAGGTAACATATAGCCAAGCATCATTCTACCTTAATGTAAAGTCAAACAGTTTGTACACACAGCCCCTCCTGTACCCTCACTTTCCCTGAGCTATTCTGTTTTCCACAATTAGACTTTACAGTCCAGGTGACATTGATCTAATGTTCTATAATGGCAGCCTTCAGTACTACACCTGCAGAACCAAAAGTACCCAGATCAGCATGAGCAGACCATTTATTTATATAGGATAATGTATTTAGAGTTGTTGACTGCAGGGCAGGGACTTCCTTTCCTATTGTCAAGCCCTGGGAGTTAGGATTACGGTATTGTGGTACTGTGTACTGTTTAAAATGTGCACAATATCTTTCTGGCAAAGATTCTGCCTAAAGTACACAGGATACCAACATAGTTTATTAAATAGGTGGTGCCAGGTGGCATAAAGCTAATCAATCGCTGAATGGCACAGACTCTGCATAACCTCTATAGCGGTGAATAAGGCATATAAAGGCTGGAAAGCTATACTTTTACTCAAAAAGCACCAACATAGTCTGAAAGGCTGCAAGAACAAAGAAAACATACAAGTGACAGATGAAACTGTAGCCATAAGGGAGTAAGAAATGATGTGGGCCTTGCTATCTAGTCATATTCTGTTTACTGTATACATAATGTACTTGCTGGCTGTTCTCCATGATGAGCAGTAGTGAAAACACCTGTTCATTAATGTCAGATCACAACATATACAAAGAATAAGGAAATAGAGGTATCACACTACTACTTAATTTAATAACATTTTTATTGTAATATGTGGAGTTTCCAGTTTTAATATATTATGACACTAATGTAACAAAAATCACAAAGTTATCGCTAATAATTCTAATACAGCACTGTCACTTTAAATAGCAGTCCTGACATTGTGACCAAGGTAAGATAAGAAAGCTGGTGCCAGGCTGGTGAGAACACCAAAGCCACCGTGCCTCTGGCAACACTGCATTTTTTAAATATCAGCCTTCAAAAACAGGTATTCTAACATCAATGTTGATGAAGGACATGAAAAAACTAGAATTAGACAGGAGGATTATGAAATGAAAGGAGATCTGGAAGGAGAGAGAAGACCTAGAAAATATGACAGCAGAGATAAGAAAGGAGACATGAGTCAACAGAGAGAAAGAAAGCTGGAAAGAGCTTTAGAATATAAATTGTCTAAGAGACATAAGATCTAGAATGAGACAATAGTCTAAGACATGATGTAGGAAGGAGAGATCTAGAATGAGACAATGGTTTGAAGTGGGAAAGGGTCTGGAAGAAGAGATCTAGAATGAGCTAAATGGCCCGAGAGACGGGAGATCGGGAATGAGCTAAATGGCCCGAGAGACGGGAGATCGGGAATGAGCTAAATGGCCCGAGAGACGGGAGATCGGGAATGAGCTAAATGGCCCGAGAGACGGGAGATCGGGAATGAGCTAAATGGCCCGAGAGACGGGCGATTTGGAATTAGATATATGGCCCAAGAGACGGGAGATCTGGAATGAGATAAATGGCCCGAGAGACTGGAGATCTGGAATGAGATAAATGGCCCGAGAGACGGGAGATCTGGAATGAGATAAATGGCCCGAGAGACGGGAGATCTGGAATGAGATAAATGGCCCGAGAGACGGGGGATCTGGAATGAGATAAATGGCCCGAGAGACGGGGGATCTGGAATGAGATAAATGGCCCGAGAGCCGGGAGATCTGGAATGAGATAAATGGCCCGAGAGCCGGGAGATCTGGAATGAGATAAATGGCCGAGAGCCGGGAGATCTGGAATGAGATAAATGGCCCGAGAGCCGGGAGATCTGGAATGAGATAAATGGCCAGAGAGACGGGGGATCTGGAATGAGATAAATGGCCCGAGAGACGGGAGATCTGGAATGAGATAAATGGCCAGAGAGACGGGAGATCTGGAATGAGATAAATGGCCAGAGAGACGGGAGATCTGGAATGAGATAAATGGCCCGAGAGACGGGAGATCTGGAATGAGATAAATGGCCCGAGAGCCGGGAGATCTGGAATGAGATAAATGGCCGAGAGCCGGGAGATCTGGAATGAGATAAATGGCCCGAGAGACGGGAGATCTGGAATGACATAAATGGCCCGAGAGACGGGAGATCTGGAATGACATAAATGGCCCGAGAGACGGGAGATCTGGAATACAGGAGAGATCTGGAATACGGGAGAGATCTGGAAAGGGACATAGAATTAAAGGATTTGTAAAGACAGACAGAATGAGACGGGTGACCTGGTGGGGGGTCTAGAATGAGACAAGCCGTCCCCACCTTACTCAACTCAGACAGGGGAGTCTAAAACCAGCTCCTATAGACTAAGCTTCCCATTATCCCGAGCCAAAGGGAAATGGAGTCCCCAGCAACGGTTCTATAGGAAACTACATAAATGTGAGGCAGTGTGGCCCCCGGTGTGAGGAGGGGGAGGGGGGGCAGTGTGGCCCCCGGTGTGGGGGGAGGGGGGCAGTGTGGCCCCCGGTGTGAGGGGAGGGGGGGCAGTGTGGCCCCCGGTGTG